ATCACTATCACTGACTTGGGCCGGCTGTAGTGGGTGGCGGGTGAAGAACTGGTCATGTTTTGATGACTGGGCGACCTTGTGCGCACCATTTTCGCGCCTCTTACACAACATGGCGGATGGCGGGAGGTTTGGATCCAAAAATGGCGCGGCTTGCCAGCCGCTCTCCGCGTAATGGGGTTCACGACCGCGGAATGTGAAAATGTTAGGTTCTGGCAAGGCACCGCGTTAACGGTGAAACGCGGAATGCGGGACCGCGTAATATGAGGACCAACTGTATTTTCTTCCCACTGTGCCTGTTAGATTTGGGCCCTGCTAATGTTTATAAAAATAACCAGCTATGACTGCTACAAACTGATTTGTGGAATATAACAAACCTTTGTGGAAAGCAGTGAATCTTTTCACAGAAATGATAACCCAATTTTTTTCCATCACACCCAGTGTCCGCCAAAGTACATTAGTCCTCTTTTATTCTTGCTACACTCAAAATATCTAATTTTGTCAGAATAAAGTTCTACCACTGGAGATTTTGCAGACAGTTTACTTTACAGAACTATTAAGACCCATAACGACTGAAGCCTACTGCAACTTGACCTATGCATTCTTAAGGAGCACGGCAAATGCCAATTTCACCTCTTACGTTTTACTTGGTCTCCCTCACTATCTCCTTCCCAGAAACACCTTAAGGTATACTCCAACCCTTAATACTTACCCTCCCCAAAACAAACCTCAAACCTCCGTCTGTCTGTTAGGACACAAAATTGTGAAGCCCTGCTCAGTAGTAAATGAGACAAGATTGAAGTGTTTTTTTTTTTTCTGAAGACAAGTCACAAATACTGTACCCAGGAACGTGTCATGTTGGAAAAACAAGAGGAATTACAACCATCTTAAATTCCACTATTTTCCCAGTGGTAAAATGAAAAGGTAAGTTAATATTAATATAAGAACATAAGAAAATAAGGAGTCTGCAATAGGCCGGTTGGAGTAAAACAATGATGATAAGTCAAGGTAAAAGTGTAGAAGATGGTAACCACCTGCAAGACCTTATCGATTTTGTTCATCTATTACAGGAATGTTTAAATAATGATACTAATTAATAATACTATATATATACAACAAATGTGTGCCATTTACCTAACCTAACCATGATTTACATAATTGGCCTATCTTATCCTAGTTTTATTTCCTCTTTCCGAATATGCAAATATAAATTATCCGAAACAAGTAGGAAAAAGTTACGAGTTTAATTGTGTTAGAAGTAAGTGCAGTTTGTGTGTCATGCACTGTATCATTATCAAGTACAGTGTAGCATAATGTATATGGCCAGTAGTCAAAGTTCTCTTTCTTATGTGTCAATTTTCTCTTTCTTAGGCCCACATACACATGTACATAGAGATCTCGCACTCAGGATGGAGGTGAGAAAGGAAACTCACAATAACGTTTTCTTTACAAATATTGTACGTACAGTGCAGTAAGATGTTCTTCACAGCGAGGCAGGGGGGTATTTATATGATCCTGCCGAGTCAAGATTTGAGGTGCGAAGTGAAAAGTCGTCGCTGATTGGCTGGGCGAGGACAGCAGGTAGCCAATCAGCATGCGGTTTGGGGGCAGAGACTGTGGTCTGGAACTTGCTGCTGATTGGCTGAGGAGAGGACGGCAAGTGGCCAATCAGCGAGCAATTCAGAAGAGGGGGCTGTGGTTTGGAACTCGCTGCTGATTGGCTGAGGCGAAGACGGGAGATCAGTTGTAGGGGAAAGTGTTCACTAAGGTACAACAGTATATCTGTCTCTCCTCAATAATGGTGTTTGATCATATATTGTGCAGTATATTGATTTTCATTTTCTTGTTAACTTTTTCCTTTACTCTGATATTGTAAAAAAAAAAATTCCAGTTCTTAATAGAGACTTTGCACATTTCTCCCTCACAAGTCCAGTACATCTTATTTCTTTCTGTACCTTTTGACTACATAGAAAGATGGTCTCTATGTGAGCCTACCAAAATTTTTACTTAATAAAGCTTATCATTCTTGGTAGATAGCATTAATTGCCAAACTGTAATTTTTGTTCTTGCATAACTGGTTAATAAAAAAAAAAAAAAAAAAAAAATTGTATTTGTAGCTCTTTGGATACTGGAGAGCTTGTTGATTGTTGTTTTATTACATTATGGGTCAGTAGTACAGTATGCTGGAAACACTGCTTCTTGTGCCATATTTAGTCATTACACCACCCAACTGTTCAGGAGTACCGTCGTGTGTGGTTATTCAAGGAGGCCTATAGGACCAAAGGCAGTTCCATTAGATTAGGTTTCCTCTTGGGATTGTTGGAACAATTCATTGGCAGGGGGTGCCCACCTTACAGCAGTCACGATGAATATAAAAGTTTTTCACCCTTAAAATTTTGATATACAGTATTGAGATAGAATATTTCAAACTTATAGGAAATGAGTTTGTTGGTGACAGAAAGTCTTGTTTCCATAATACAGTATAGTCAAGGATTGTCAGTTATTTAAAAGTGCTAAATAATCCCGGTTGATTATGAGTGTACAGCCGTGCATCAAACAAACAAAGCATTTAAATTCTTATCACAGCTCCAGAGGTCAGATGCCCTGTCTTGTATAATTTTCCCCTTCTCTTGAATGAGGTTAACTGGAGGACAGCAATGATTAAAAGCCTTAGCGTACGCTAAGTTCACAGCTCTCTATATTTCCTTTGCCTTGTTGTGACAGCTGATTCGCGGTACACCAACTGCCGGCCATCCCAGTGCAGCCAATACACGGTGAAATCAAACCTCACAAACATCAAATAATTTCTATATCCCATAGATATCCTCTTTAACACTTTTGTATTCATTTGATCATATGATGTTTGAGGGAAATATTATTGGGGTACTCGATACCTGGATTGTGGCAACAGTAGGCCATCCAGCCAATTTGCATTTGTTGGTAGCCTCACCCAGTGGATCAGAATCTGACCCTTTGTAGTGCTGAAACACGTTCTTGAATAACATCTCCCTACACAAGCTTCGGGTTCTAGATGGTCGGGCTCATCATCGGGCAAGTCAACTGTGAATACAGGCCCTTGTCCAATCAGTGAAGTTAAGCAATATTGGGTCTGGTTAGTACTTGGATTGGTGACCGCCTGGTCCTAAACAACAGATGTTGCTGTCGTAAGGACTCTATTGGAAACAAGCCTGTCAGATGTCCCTGGTCAAATTGACTGAATATTAATTATTTATTATGAAGGACCAAACCAAAAGTAACTGGACAAAAAAGGACATAAAGTATAATTAGAAACAGACCAACCACCCAAATGTCTATTAAGCTGATTAGTGGTAAAAAAAAAGAGAGAAAAAAAAGGAGAGATGAACAAGAAGACAGATTTCAGCAATTTTCTGATCTATTTAACTTTCAAGTATGAATAAAATGGTTACCATATACACTGGCCAATACTAATGTATGGAAATATTACACATGCTAGACTGGGAAACCCACTTTCTATTTGCAAAAACACATGATAGTAGTTAGGTAGTAGGCATTAGGTAGTAGGCAGCTCCCAAACAGGGAGGTCCTACCGCCTGGGAAGATATTGGAAGCATAATGTGTTGTCTAATGGTAAACCCTGCTGCCATATGGCATCACAAAAATTGTGACCAAGTCCCAGGTTGCTGATCTGACTGTCTGCCTCATTTATACACAATTGCAGCTCTTACTTCAACAACACTACATACAAATATTGTTTCTCACTATTCATCTTCTTTTTTATATTTGTATTTATTTATGGTCCTTTATTATTATTATTATCATTATATTTTTGCCCCCAGGCTTTGATGTGGGTCATTGACCTGTGCCCTGGTGGGCTAATCCCATAAAAAAAAAAAAGCTGACGATCAGACCCCAGCTTATTTAACCTGATGATTAAACACCCTAGTGCTATCTGAGGGAGGGAAAAGGTTTTATTAGATTATGTTACATAACATTAAAAGTTTACTTTTGTTCTGATACTGATTTATGGTCAACAACAAACAACATTTTTTATTGGGATTAACCCACCTGGGCACAGGTCATTGAACCACATTGGGGCCTGCGGGGCGAGAATATAATACTAATACAGTATAGTCTCGATTTACGCAGATTTGGTTTACGCGTTTGGTCATTTACGCGGCACCTTGCCAGACCGACAATTTTTATTTACAAGGTTCATTCCATCATTTACGCGGGAAGCGGCGCGGGCAGGGTGCGTACAAGGTCGCCCAGTCATAAAAACATAACCAAGTTCTTCACCCGCCACCCACCACAGCCGGCCCAAGTCAGTGATAGTGAGGATATGAACTTTGAGGGGTTTGACAAAGAGGCCCTGCAAGCCTCTGTGGTGGATAGTGATACAATTGATACAAGTGATACAGGTGAGGGCCAATAATCTGCCCTCTGCCTGAGAACCAACCCCCCATCCCCGTGTGCCCAGCCATCTTTTTTACTAACGTAAGTGTTAAAAAACCCTAATATTATTGATATTTCTCTTAAATATTAATTGTGTGCATACCATCATTAAATTAAGATGTTATTTTTACTACAACGTACGTATTGTGTCGGAAAAAGTGTAGTTTGGGGGTCGGCCCAGTCTCTATTTCAATTAATCCCATATGTTCTGTTATTTCGTTTACGCGTTTCTCGTTTTATGCGGACCTCCACGGGTTCAATTGACCACGTAAATGAAGACAATACTGTACTAATAATAACAATAATAATTAATAAAAAATCATTACAAATTAATAAAATATATAAAAATAATAATAATAAAGAAAAGTAAATAACTACAGTACAAAAAAATAACAAGAGTGAGAAACAATATGTGTATATGTTGTGTTTTCAAAGTAATAGAAACAATTGAGACCCTGCAAGTGTGTGTAAATGAGGCAACAATTCAGATCAGCAACCTGGGACTTGATCAAAATTTTTGTGATGCCATATGGCAGCAGGGTCTACCATTAGACAACATATTATGCTTGCAATATTTTTCCAGGCAGTAGTACCTCCCTGTTTGATAGCTGCCTAGTAATTACTACCACTACGACATAAACACTATTATCTCTTCCCTTAATGTAAAAAAAAAATTCACCTCAGGGTGCTGGGATTTGAACCTAGACCACCAAGGTTGGCAGCCAGGTTCTGATAAAGGTACTTACAAGTCCCTTACTTGTACAATATGCAAGTAGACAAAATAAGAACACTAAGTACAATATTTTTTTTCCAAAATTGCAAGGGAATCTAACCAAGGATCTTAACTTTGCTGGTACAGTGTTAAGTTATATTCATTACACCAAAACCAAATTGGCTTACATGATATATCAATGTACAGTAATGACATCAGTACTGTATCTGTAAAATAAAAGCTGTTCATATCTAGAATTGATTTTTATATAATTTGATATTTTTTATTACCTTTAGAGGTTTATCTATGGTATATAATATTTGTTTACACAATATTTCAGATAAATTGGTTTAGAATATTTTATATCTTTATGTGTGAATTTTTAATCAAAATCATACAGAACAAAGCTATTCACTCTCTCCTGTTATGGCAAATAGTTAATGATGCATTTTTCAGGTCCAATTTTCTAGATCTAAGGTATCATCTGCGATAACTACCAGATGGCCTCCATCCTCCAGCTGATGGATACTGCCAAAAGTGGTCTGGTATACCTGGAAGAAAGAACACTTATGAGAGGGAAGTGTCAGATGATGCCTTATACTACAGCTGGTGTTCCATAAGTTGAGTAGGCCTACATGCAAGACATATAATACAGTACAGAGGAATATGTAAGGAGATTAAACTAACACCAGACAGACTGATATGTTTGGTTGACACAAACATTGAAGGTACATTTGAAAAGGTTGGTGTAATGACCAAGGGTAGACCTAACATGGATTGGAGCTGAAGAGTGCAGTACAGTATGGGAGTCCAATATGGTGGTACAGTTTGTGTAAAAATGAGGTCTAACAAAGAGTAATTATATTATGAAGCATTCATAACGGTACACCCAGTTGAAAATTTGAGAATAATGTCCAGCATATATAGGTTAGATATATACACAGTACCCGGTAATGATGTCATTTGTAATCTAATAACATATACTGTTTAGGGATGCATCATTTAGTGAACAGAAACGAGAAAAAATATCTTAAACAAGGGATAATGAGGAATATCCATGGAGATGGCATGTAATTTTGGGAAGATATACCTGTATTTAATATTCTTCATTTTCTTGTCCTCTGTTACACGCACACATATTCGTTCACACAGAATGTGCAAAAAAAAAAAAAATCATAAGGTCAAAACATAAAGGAATACTGTACAGTGGTCCCTCGGTTAACGAGCACAATTCGTTCTAGAAGGTTGCTCGTTAACCGAAAAATTCGTTAACCGAAACCATTGTTTCAATGGTTTTTTGGGTAATTGGTTCCAGCTCACCGAAAATTACATACAAACTAAAAATAATTGCAGTAAAGTACACTTACTTTGAGGTGTGCATGTAAAAGGCTCCTGACTGATGATGATGATGGGAATTAGAATGGGGGTGGAGGAGAAGGGAGAAGAGAAGTCACCCCATGCCACCATTTCACCCATAAAATTTTAGTTCACTTGGTGTAATTCAAGATTATTTTCTTTAAATCAACACTGCACTGCATTATATATTGTCAGTATGTAAAATATATTTCAAAATGACCAATAATTTGACTGGAAACACAGAAAAAGCATTTATATTGAAGAGTCTCAAACAAGATGTTCCTTCCTCTGAACTGGTAAACAAACTGACGCCAAGCTTGGTGTGTTGAGTGGCTGTTTGGCGCACAAAAAAACTAGCTTCCTGAACTTCAATTATGTTCAATAATTGTTAAAATGACTAAAAAATTTAATATAAACCTTTTAAAATTATTGAATAATACAACCTTCTTAATATTTACTAAAATGGTAAGGAAAATAAGCCCTAAAACCGATTACTGTATTGGCGGACTAATACTACAGCTGGTGGGCAGCCAAATGCAGGCGAAAACATGTTGGGAAAAATTCGTAAACCGAGGGTTTGCTCGTTAACCGAAGTGAAGAATCTTATGGAGGGTAATTCGTTAACCGAGGCGCTCGTTAACCGAGGGATCACTGTACAGTAAACAATTCTTACTAGGTCTGCCTGTTAGCTACATCCTGCCTGCTGCTCCTGGATACACTCTCATCTCCCCCACACAATACATATTACCCCTACACTCCTATTTTTTCTTATTTTTATCTTTATAGTACAGTGCAGTACAGTTTTTTTTTTATTCATAAGGCAAATTCTGTGGTTACTTAAATATATTACTTTAGAGTACGTAACAGTCATATCAGTGAAAACCGTTGTCGACAACCAGACTTATGTCTTGAAACAGTCCAGTTATGCTCAGACACCCCCGCCCCCCCCCCCAGATTTTTTTTTGAGGGGGGGTGTCTTTTGCCTTTTCCAGACTGGGGTCTGCCCCAATTGGTCCGGTGTATCGAGGTACTGCTGTACTTTCTCTCTCACAGATGTAACTGAACACTAGTAATCCCATTTGAATCTCTGATATAAACAACCATCCAAGTACAGGATTCTCTTGATTTAACGGAATCCGATTAACAAACTCGATTTAGCAGAAGGAATTTTTTCCGTTATTTTTGTTCGATTTAGTGAACTAGTTTGCTAAATCGAGATTAATTCCGTGAAAATGCTCACACCTTAGACACATGATATGTACATAGAAACATTGTTCACGGGTTTCCTTAAACTATGAGGGTTTGGTGTTTGTTTTAAATTTTTTCTATTACAGTAGAACGTCGATATAACGTGAGATACATTCCAAGAGAGGTTGCTTTAAATCGAAGTGTTGTTTCAATGGAATAATTTAGTTTGGTACTTGAGAGAAACACAAAATACTAAAAAGACTTTTATTAACTAATAAATAAGAGAAAAATATATGGTGTACTGATATATATGCAGCAAGCACTCTCTGCAGTCAAGTTGAGAGCTGGACGGTAATGTTACTGAGTGGTACTGTACTGTCTGCTGCCTCGTGTCACTGCCCCCCTCTTCCCTCCCCCCTGTCCCTACTGAGAGTCTACCCAGATGCACCTCAGCCCATCTCCTAGAATAAACAAAACATTTTTTTTTGTAGCATTATGCTGAAACAAACTCATAAATCAACACAGCAAAATTACAGGAAGCGAAATGGTCTGTTTACTCACGATCAGCTGATGTGAGAGGGTGGTCGCGCTAACGCCGCACACCGCCCGCCTCTCGTCTGCCTCACTCCATCCCTACCACTCACCATGCACTTTCCTCTTAACTTAGTTTTTGATTACTTTATGCTATAAAAAAAATAGATTTTCACCCACTTTTATTTAGACAAGTCATCCTCGGAAGATGCAGTGCCCAACTCGGCCAGCTCATCATCCACATCACTGTCTAGTGGTGTGGCTGTGGAGGCACCTGACATGCAGGAAGCACTGGATGATGGCCGTGTCTGCATCTTCCATCCCACCATACATAGCAGACTTTAGGTGGCATTTACCCTTGGCAACATCTGGTGAAGCATAGGCTGCTCTAATTTTCTCCTTGTTGAGCTTGATAGAGTGGACAGTGCTCTCCGACAGTCAAAATTGGCGCCCCACACATGAAGCACCACTTCCTCGCTGCAGTGCTTCCAGCACCTTGTGTTTCTGCTCCAGTGTAATTGCTTGCCTTGATTTCTTGGTCTTTGGGGTAGTTAATGATGTAGTGACTGGCCTCTTGGACATAGTGGCGATGGTTGATGCACTTGATGGAAGGAGTCACACAGTATGTCCGTTCACTAGTGCGTCAGCACGAGAACTGAGGATGCAGAGGGTGGCGGGCAGCCTTGTAGCATGCCCAGAGAGGCGTTATGGTGAGAAACTTAAAATAGTGTGTATTTCCATATGACCAGCCAGATTTGACTCGCGTCAAAGAGGAAAGATTCGCTTTAAATTGATACGGTGTCCTTAATTGTTGGTGTCGCTTTAAATCAATAATTTTAAATTGATTCGCTTTAAATCGACGTTCTACTGTATTTCCAAACTTTTTCCAATTGATAGCCACACTCTTTTCAATTTCTCTCCCACACCATTTCCTTTTTGAGATTTCTGAAAGACTTTCAGCATGATGGCTAAGCACAGTAGTTAGTTGACCAAGAGGTAGCAGTGAACAACACACGCGGTTGGCGGCAAGACACAGACTGAGTGAACATAAACAAACCCCATGTGCCAAGCGGCGTGTTTGGCATGCAATTTAACGGAATCACACTCAATTTAGTGAATTAGTTCGCAAAATTGAGCAAATATAACGGTCAATTCGATTTGGCGGAAATTTTGATTTAACGGAAAAGGGTGGCTTGAATTAGTTAATTAAATTGAGAAAATACTGTAACAGTAGAAACATGAGGGTCTTTCCTTACCTGCTGGTCTTTAAGATATGAATGACATGAGTCCTGGTGAGATGCTGGTACAAGAGGCATTTCTTCCACAACCTCATTGTCACAGTTTTCCTTTTCATATGTCACTGGAGTTAAATACGTTGAGGAGGGAACACCTGCTTGCTCAGTCATCGCTGTCTGCTGATTTTCTGCCTGAGATATAATGTCAAAAAATATTAATTTTCTTGTTGTAATTAGGTTAGGTTAGGATGGCTCATGTAGCTTGATACAAGTTAAGGCGTCCTGTTCTTTCTTTTTTTTTTTACTTTGGACTATGTGCTGTCCTAACCATAAGGTTAGGTTAGTTTAGGTTGTCTGTTTGTAAGTTATTTTGCAAAATTACCAATATGCATGACGGTCATTTTGCAAAATAATTTCAATATATATATATATATATATATATATATATATATATATATATATATATTTTTTTTTTTTTTTGAGGAATCAGTTATGAATTTTCTTCCTTTAAAAAATATATTCCACATTTTTATACTGTACTATATGTCATTCCCTGCTCCTCTCCACTTCCCTGTCATGCACTCTTACATTTAAAGCTATACATAAACAACCAATGCTTAAAAATAAAGCATGAACTAATAATACATAATAATAATAATTCACCATGCTTGATTATTTAACCTGATCTACAAACATAAACACCAGGAAATATACTACAGAACAAGTTAATCAAGAATTTCTCACCTTATGTAATGTATTTACAGATTTTCCATAACAATGAGTGTGCTGAATAAGTTTGTTTGACTCACATGTTTTACAACGATCAATCTGAAACAAGTCAAATTTTGTATAGTATTTCAACCACCAAGAGAACATATTGAAGGGTTTGACAAGCATATTGCAGTGCAGTACAGGTATTAAGATTACACAAACATATGACTAATTTTCTTTGTAAAGTTTTGCTTTGAATAATCAAACATCTTCTGACATCTACATTGCCACAATAAAAAATATTCAGAAGAGTAAGTTATTATATTGAGAGGCTGAGAATAGTCCTCACACATGAAAAAATTTATGAACATTAAGGAGGATACCTTTGTACAAACATCTTCAATCAAACTTGTCCAGTAAAATTGCTTCGCTAGACGTTGCAAAGTTTCGGTTCGATCTGAAAATAAAGTGTAATACTGTAATGTAAAAAGTCCTCTTCCAAGTCAACTCTTGACAAATAACCTCTCAAACAATAATGATACTGTACCTAAACTTACCCTTTATCAATCAGTTAGTAAATAGTAAAGTGAAAATGCTAAAATACAGTACAGTGAACCCTCACTTTACGCGGTTAATTCAACCCACAGGGTACCGCGGAAAGTGAGAGAAACGCGTAAAGTGAACAACATAACATATGGGATTAAATGAAATAGAGACCGGCTGACCCCCAAACTCCACTTTTTCCGACACAATACCTATGTTCTAGTAAAAATAACAACTTAATTTTATGATGGTACATGCACACAATTAATACTTAAGAGAAATAGAGAAATACAGTCACCAAGTTAATGTCCATTCAAATAATGGACTCAACTCCCTCCCCCTCTTCTCACACTACACTGCTGGCTCTTCCCTCTGAGAAATTTTGGGGGGAAAACCACTAGATTTTAAGGTATAGTAATAAATAATACCTCAAACTAAAGTTAGGATAATATAATTGACATTGCTGGATTCCTTGTAAGACCAGGAATATTTTGAATATAAATGTCATATATTTTGCACAAAAGATACATATTTACTCAGAGTAAACAAAATACTTACATTAGATCTAAAATTTATATGTCTAATGCAAAATCTATGATGTTTACATTCAAAATGATCATCAAATTGTAAGAATTCCAGCAATGTAAATTATATTCTGGCAGGGTAATTTGTATGAATTTTATGAGCTAAAACAAATATCTTCAGTTAATAAAAAAATAAATATTCTTCACGACACTATCTGTCAATCAAAGTACCCCACCTTGCCTCCCCCCTCTTCCAACCGTGCCAGATGGTCGGTCGGTCCCTCCCTCCCCTCCGCCCCCCACCAACCCTCCCTACCAGATAAATGTGTGGGAGAAACCAGAATATTTACCTTTTTAGTAATATATAATACCTCAGACTAAAGTTAGGATAATATAATTGACACTGCTGGATTCCTTGTAAGACCAGGAATATTTTGAATATAAATGTCATATATTTTGCACAAAAGATAACATATTTACTCAGAGTAAACAAAATACTTACATTAGATCTAAAATTTGTATGTCTAATGCAAAATTTATGATGTTTATATTCAAAATGATCATCAAATTGTAAGAATTCCAGGAATGTAAATTATATTCTGGCCCGGTAATTTGTATGAATTTTATGAGCTAAAACAAATATCTTCAATAAATAAACAAAATATACTTACCGAAATACTATCTGTCAATCAAAATACCCCACCTCCCCCCCTCTTCCCACCTGCTCCCTGGGTCCCTCCCTCCCTACCCCTCACCCCCACCTTCCCTCCCTACCAGAGAAATGATTGGGTTATAACAGTATATTTACATTTTTAGTAATAAATAATACCTCAGACTAAAGTTAGGATAATATAATTGACATTGCTGGATTCCTTGCAAGACCAGGAATATTTTGAATATACACTTCATATATTTTGCACAAAAGGTAACATATTTACTCAGAATAAACAAAATACTGTACAGTACTTACATTAGATCTAAAATTTGTATGTCTAATGCAAAATCTATGATGTTTATATTCAAAATGATCATCAAATTGTAAGAATTCCAGCAATGTAAATTATATTCTGGCCGGATAATTTGTATGAATTTTATGAGCTAAATAAAAAAATTATACTTCACCCGCGTAAAGGGGTACACGCACCGCGGAATGGGCAGGGTACCATGTAACCAGGGTACCGTGGAAACGCGGAATATGGGACCGCGTAAAGCGAGGGTTGACTGTACAGTAATGTGAAATATTATTTCTGACACAAATACACTTTACTGTGACTGTTTATTGGATTATCTCTTTGTTAAGTAATTAATTAAGGTTTTCAGTGAATTGTGAATTTCAATTTACAGTAACTGAGAGAAAGATTGATAAGCATAAATACATGATTGGATGCCTAAATAAAGAAAATCATACAACATAATTATAACTGTACAGGCAAATGTCTATGTTTAATGAACAGATATATAAAGAGATACTGTATACAAGTTTAATAGAGACAGTGGACCCTCAATACAGTGCATTATGTAAATATGCTATAATAATGTATTTCATTCTTACAGAAACATAAAATACTTTTGACATGTTTCATTAATATGTTTTATAAGGTTACAGGGCTGCAGTCACTGTACCATATACTGTATTTCCTATTGAAATAATACAGTACTGTATAATATAGAATGATATAATGCAATTCAATACTGTATTGCACAACAATTCTTGGTCTCACTCTGGCATTATATCGAAGGTCTACTATAGAAAGTTGATTGATGGATTAAAACAGATACAGTAAAGACAGAGTAGCTCATCTAAAACTAACTCATCACTAAGCTATGGCCTACATGTTTAAAGATTCTGTATTTCTTGGACTACACACAGGGATCCTCACCACAGTGATATCCAGAAGTAAGAGCATGGCACTTCTGAAAGGCTCTCTGTCTCTCATTTTCTGAGAGGGGAACAATTCTCTTCTGTGATCCATCCTTGCCAATGTAGTACATTGTTTTGCCTAGAATATCATAACATCATTAAAGCACATGAGTGTATAATTTTAAAATAATTTCGGTGTCTGTATATTGTGTTGGCACAGAGGAAGTCAGAATCTGTTTTATTAAGTCCCAGACTCAAATTTTTTTTCAGTTTTGTAGGTTAGGTAAACAAGGAAAAAAAATGGCAACAGTAGCACGAGTAGAAATACTGTGATAATTCGTTAAGTATAAATTCATGTTTTAAAATTGTAATACAGTACCTTATGACTACGTTATTTTTAAATTTTACAATCAAATACATGTACAGTAATATCACCATTAGCCAGAATCCCTCAAATCTGGAATTCTCCTATAGCCGGAATTTAAATTTTCTCGGAAAATCATTCCCAAAGCCGGAATTTTCCAGAAAATTCTGGCTTTGGGAACGATTTTCTGAGGGGCACATTTTCCGGAAAATTCCGGGGATGGGGGGAGTTTCTTTCTGGGTTCGAGAGAGGTGTCTCGTTACCCGGAAATCTCTCATTCCTGGAAGTGCTCTGTACCAATTGCTCCAGCTAACGGAGATATCACTGTACAGCTCCTCCCTGACTTACGACGGAGTTAGGGACCCAAATCCAGGTCGTAAGTCGAAAATGCCTAAATAATACATAGAAAATCTAAAATGGGTGTCTCTTTTCTTCTTAGCACCACAAAACTCTCACTTTTAAGCTTGCCAGCCATTTTAAAGTGAATTACAAACAAAAATTTTTTCTGTGTACTGACGTTGGGACTCAAAAATACGTAAATTGACAAAATTTTGGTACGACTGAGGCAGGTCGTAAGTGCGGGTGGTAAGTCGAGCAAGTCGTAGAGGAGCTGTATTCATAATTCGAAGCCAGGTGCCAGTTGCTGCAGTGTTTATTTTCATAAGAAATCAAAAGATTTTGGAAACATTATTTTAATGTTCTAATGTGACTTCCAAATAAAGAAAATATAATATAAAACTATAAAATAAGAAAAACTGAAGAGTGGGAAGTGTAAGCTGTGTGGGATAGATGGGAGGTAGGGCGGCTGAGTAACCGGACTCGGCGGGAAGTTCCCTCTTCGCTCCAGGAGGCTCTGCCACCCCAGTGATCCCTTAAAAGCGACAGTTCTGTATGGAATCTCACCATAATTCCGATATTATTTAGGTTCATTTGTTGCTGGGTTAATAAAACATATTGTAAAATAATAAATTTTCCTGAAAAAATCTCACTTCCACCCCCAGATGAGTTATTGTGTCATATTAAATTCTCAGTGCTTTGTTTACATAGTGCAAACAGCTCACCAGCCAGGCATAACAAAGGAGATGATTATGAGAAGGAAAGGAGCTGTTTATGTAAGATAGAACTACTTTTTGTACAATATCAATATATTTCTGTATTTTTTACGTATTATGAATGGTAGGGTCGGGATATATAGCGACTTTACATAAAGATTTTTTAATATCGCTGCTACCCAAATTATCAACATTTTCCTATATACAGCGATAATTTGTTTTTATTTCGCGAAGGAAATCGTGCAGGAAATATTTCAAATTTATCACTATAGGTTCTACCAAAATTATCGAAATTTTCCAATACAGTATACAGAAGACTCGCAACTTACGCGAGGGGTATGAGGGTTATTTTCCTGGGATCTGTGTAAAGTCAGAAACACTCCTAAATCGCCCTTAAATCATATTATATATATATATATATATATATATATATATATATATATATATATATATATATATATATATATATATATATATATATATATATATATATATATATATATATATATATATATATATATACTTACATATACAGTACACCAGAACTCATAAATCACTACTGTAATGTGACACTACTGTAATGTGATAAGCACAGGTGATTAATTTTTATCTCTTGTGCAAAATATGTGACATTTATATTATATTCGCTGTCTTGCAAGGATTCCAGCAATGTAAATTATATTCTCCTAACTTTAGTCTGTGATATTACATAAGATAAAAAATTTAAGCCAAAAACCACCCAACCCTGGCTGGGAAGATGGGGGGGGAGAGGTGAGGTGATATGTTTGACAGTTGATGCCAAGGTCTAGTGCTTATTTATTTATCTGTCCTTAAGAGTGACTTTAAGTTTTTCTCTTATAAAATGTCACTGAACTGACCTGAGAGAATATAATTTACATTGCTGGAATTCTTTTAAGATAGTGATTAGTTTGAATATAAACATGCTATAGTTCACAAGACATACAAATTTTAGTTTAATTAGTAATTTTATTACAAAGGGCTAAAAATTTTATCTCTTGTGTAAAATATATGATGTCTGAATTCAAATTATTCGCTATCTTGCAAGGATTCCAGCAATGCAATTTATATTCTGCTAACTTAAGTCTGTGACTGGTTTTTAGGCTTAAAGTTAAAAAATTTAAGCCTAAAAACCAGTCACTCTTTCAGGAAGTCAGAGGAGAGTTGATTTATTATGACAGCTGGGCAAGAGCCAGACAACAGTTACCTAGTGGTGTTTATTTATCTGTCTTATAGGGGGTGTTTATGTTTTTCTCTTATAAAATGTCAATGAATTGACTTAAGAGAATATAATTTGTGAGGCAGTCAATTATCTGGTTTCAGCCTGGAACCAGATAACGAAAGCAACAGTTCACCACGCCTGGATGCCGCTACTCCCACATCTTGCCAAATCATAGGACAGCCACCAGCGACAGGAAGATCTCTTACGGGAGACAGTTCAGTCAGTTCAAAGTATCCCAGCCCCTGGCTTCAATAGCATGAACGAGGAACAAATTAACGAACTTTTAGGTGCAGAGAAGGCCCCAGAAAGCATCGAGGAAATGCTGGGAGAAGAAAATCAAGTTCAGCAAGAAACACTCCCACAAATTGTGCAACAACCGACGGAGTCAACAACTCGTGATCTGTCCACGTTTCTATAAGCCAAACTATGATGCCCGTGAGATGATGATGGGTTTGCTTAATAAAATACAAGGTCGCTACCAAGAAAAATATAACAAGAAATTAATGACCGAAAACAAGATCTAATCACTCGTTACTTGAGTGGCAAACAAGAAGAAAATAGGCAGGTGATTGAAGCAATTGAATGTGTAGAGGTGGAAGATGAAGGGGAAAAAGATCATCTCGACCTAGCTAGCATGCCAAAGGACTTTGATTTTAGAGGCTTTGACCTAGTGGTGGCAGAGGCAGTGGTGGAGGAGGAAGGAGGGGAGAGACTGGAGGCCCGGGTGGGGGGCGATGGACATATTAGCCTTCCTACCCCAGCCTTGGATACCAGTTTAGTGTACATTAAGCACCTCAACTTTAATTTTAATGTTGGTTTTCTATGTTTATGTTGATCAACTAATTATTCATTCTCTTTCAGCAATAAAATATAGATTACAGAAGGGTTGGGATACATCACGAGATAGGGTCCAACGATGTTCGCTATACAGTATACTAAATCGCAATATATAATTACATGTAATCAATGGGGAAAATAGGGTTAGGTTCTGGAGGCCAAAAAAGGTGACTAAACTTGACTTAACGAGTTCATTTTCTTACTAACTAAAGCACCAATGAACACTAGACTCAGGAACAACAGGCTATTTCAATATCAATATCAAGGAACACCAGACGCCACACTGCCACCCTCACTTGACAATCCCACACCTACATAAACGAACACCAAACATATAAGTTACAGTATTAAATCTTTCCATTGTCTTCACTTCACCTTTCACGTCACTAGCAACCCATTTACTCTCACTTTAGAAACTGGAATCTGCACCAGACTCGACAGTTGATGCGCCATCCCGAGAACAACAGATGACACACTGCCACCCTCACTTCACAATCATAAATGAACACCAAATATATTAGTTACAGTATTAAATCTTTTCCATGAAGCTTCCATTCTCTTCACCTCACTTTTCACGTCACTAGCAACCCATTTACACTCACCTTAGAAGTCGTAATCTGCAGCAGTTGGCTGCTTTCTTGTCACTCACTCAGAAAGATTGAGAGGGCGAGCGTGAATGTCTGAGTGAGCAGCCACGGTGGCGCCTCTGGTGAGCAATTAACACATTTGTTTGCCATGGAGGTACATTTGAAATATTTCCTGCTCGATTTCCCTTGCGAAATAAAAAAAATTATGCCAATACAGTATATTGGAAAATGTTGATAATTTTGGTTGCCGCGATATAGAAAAAATTGTTATATAAAGTCGCGATATATCCCGCCCCTACTGTATACGTGGGTAAAATAGGAAAAAAATTGAGACTTTGGGTGGCCCCTGGGTGCCAATTAGGCTTCTTCCTATTGGATTAAGGCATCTGCTTTGGTGAGGGTTTTTTGGCACTAATTAACCACCACACTGGAGGGTTTACTGTACATGGATAACCACAAAAAGTTCATTAAAGCAACACTCTAAAAACAAAAGTTTGGGGAAATAGATTACTGTTCAACCAAACCAAACTAAATTTTTCCCATTTAAATGTTTAGATTTTTTAATTGGGGTTGAATGCATCTTAAGGAGATAGGAACATGACCTTGTGAATCATCAGAGTTCTACAGTTTTTAATTTTCTTCCCCAAACAGTTACTATGTCTTTGATGAGTTTCTTGATACAGTATGTATTGTTTGCACTAGAAGAATTTCGTTTATAGCATCAAACAACACTAAGAAAATGAGTGCCAGCAAATGTAACAACTGCTTCTCAGGTGGCTTTGTGGTGCTATGTGTTATTGACCTTAAACCCTCTTCATTGGAAGTCACAGATCAGATTATGTTTTGGATTGAAGTACTGTATAACAAAACCTGACTACTCAACACAGTGAATGATGTCACTGGCAACCCCTTTCCAAGGATCCACAAGTCTGCCAACTGTTTATGGAGTTCACACATGCATGTGTCGAATGGCTCAACCATTCTGCGTTGTGTTCTCACCATATGTACAATAGTGGCATAAAGCTGCAACAAGAAATGTGGAATTGTAAAAACAAAAAATAAATTTTACCATCTATGATGAACTCTTTTGATGATTTTCTTATTCCATTCTTCTTTTTTGAGGGAACAGATGGCAAGTATGTTCCTGTCTCCAGGTAGTGTCTGACTTGCTGGAGGTGAAGTAGTCCAGCCTCTCCTTTGCTCACCATTACCCCAGCCTGTCATTATACCTGTCATTCACAATCTTATTTCTTTAATGACTGCTGATGTTTTCACTGAACACAACGATACACTCCAGTCATTCTTAAGAAAATGCTTACACAGATATATATAATGAGAATTTTTTTGTTATCTACAAGTACTCTTACTCACAACACTTCAACATACATACTGTATAAGGCAAACCCTCTCAATAACGGACTTCTCAATTCTGAATATTCCCAATAATGGCCAAGACTTGCATGAATTAGTCTGGTATTGAGAGGGTTTATTGTAGCATTGTTATCCTAGTTACCAATAACATATTATCATCATCATAAAAGATATACAGTATTATACAAAGAATTACCATTCTACTACACACAAATTAAAAAATTATGGTATGTGAAATTACAAATGAAAAATACAAACCACAATATCAACTGAGTGGAACTTGTGACTCTCCAATTGTGGCAGCAAAATGTAGTACACAGTTTGGAAGTTAACACTCTCTATGTCTTCCCGCAGTGCTTGGATAATCCTCACTCTATTCCTGCTTCTTTCAGCTGTTGTATTGTTCTTGACCTATAGAAATGAAAGACTGATGTATGTAATCCTGTTATAACTGGAGATATACCACCACTCATCCCCTGACACAGTCTGTCTTTGCTAGAGGTTTGACTTGGTTAATAGCAGAATACTTTATCTGGGATTATAATGGCTGTGTTACAAGCAGCTCCCACCCAGCTGAATCAGGGTTTTGATCATGTGGTACTCTTGAGAAACAAAGAAACTCAACATCAGGGGTTGAAGGTTCTCAGTTAGGCTCATGTATTCCAGTGAGAGCACAGAGTGAAACAAAGCCACTAAATTCATATTTCATGCCAAGGACTAATTCATTGTCATTGTCTAAAACAATCCTTTCCCACTGTATATCACAAATACATCCCAAATCATTCATCATTTAATTACCACACAACACATGATCATTGATTTTAAAACAAATACTGTATTAGCCTAAGCATTGTTTCAGTAGTCTAAATCACAGAACACTAAGTGAAAAAGGATATTCGGCTTATATAGGTAGAGGTACCAACCCAACAGATACATCTGTCTGTACATACTAGCTTATTCAAATTTCCATCAAAACCAAGGATCATGATATCTTTTTTGATGGGTGCACAATAATGAACTTATGATACACACCTTAAAGTCTGGCATTCTCAGAATTCTCTTAATGTGCACTTTGGCAGGGCAGCCAACCTTTTTTGTACTTTGTGTGAGGATTCTTCTCTTGGTGACCATTAGTTTTTTCTCCTGTGATACAAAAACAAGTTTATAATGAATTTCATCAATTTGAATATTTAACAAATATGACCAAAAGCACAGTATACTTCATCCCACATTTTACAGAGGTAATTCATTATCTTATTTAGTACTGTACTATGAAAAAATCTACATTCACTCACTGAATTTATCTTTGTTTATTTCCTTAAACACACAGGCAATACTCTAATAACTCTAGTGCTGTTTCAAATCTCAGCTATGAGAAAAAAGTACAGTACATGGTGATACAGTGTAATCACCACAGATGAATATTTATGTTACAGTTATCTCACATTTAACAATTCATAGAAATTTAAAAAAGATGTGCCCTTATTTTAAATAATTATGTAATTTCATTGATGTTAAAAAATTTTTTTTGGCTTACCTCCATCTGATCTCTGTTTGCTGCATATCTCCTCTTGTTCCATGCTCCACTGTCATTACCCAAGTGGCATTCCAGGACATAAGTTCCAGCCTCAATGAAGGGCACCCCAGTGTACTCCACTGGCACTGGGTCAAAGCCTCTTCCCTTTGTTCCTACACTCACTGAGTATCTGATGTGTTTCCTTCCTTCTCCAATATAAGCCTTCATATCTGACCCTAAGTAAAGAAAGGGCACCCACTCTCTTAAAGAACTATAACTATACCATACAGTAGAACGTTGATATAACACGAGATACATTCAAAGTGTTGTTTCAATGGAATAATTTAGTTTGGAATTAAGAAGACTAAGATTCTACCCAGATGCACCTCAGCCCATCTCCTAGAATAAACAAAACATTGTTTTTTGTAGCATTATGTTAAAACAAACACTCATAAATCAACACAGCTAAAATTATGGAACGTGAAATGGTCTGTTTACTAGCGGTCAGCTGATGGGGAGATGGGGGAGGTGAGGTGATATGTTTGACAGGAATATGACAGTTGATGCCAAGGTCTAGTGCTTATTTATTTATCTGTCCTGAATGACTAAGTTTTTCTCTTATAAAATGTCACTAAACTGACCTGGAAGAATATAATTAACATTGCTGGAATTCTTATTAAATAGAGATTAGTTTGAATATAAACATGCTATAGTTCGCATTAGGCATACAAATTTTAGTTCTAACTAATTTTATTACAAAGTGCTAAAACTTTTATCTCTTGTGCAAAATATATGACATTTATATTCAAATTATTCACTGTCTTGCAAGGATTCTAGCAATGCAAATTATATTCTCTTAACTTTAGACTGTGATATTATATAAGATAAAAACTGTAAGCCTATAACCACCCAACCCTGGCTGGGAAGGGGGGGGGGGTGACAGTGACACGTTTGACAGTTGTGGGTGTCGCTTTAAATCAATTATCTTAAATTGAATCGCTTTAAATCGACTTTTTACTGTACTATACCATACTATACTATACTGCATAGTAACTTAAACTTTAATAAAATTTTCAATGATAATCCCTCCATATATTATATAAAACAGGATTGACATTCAGCATGAGAATTGATTTAACTTATCAAAATAAGTGAATTAATTGTTTTGGGTATTTGTGGATTTCCTTCTTCTCTTTTATCAATTCTTTTCTCACTCACTGTAGGATGGCCATAAACAAAAATACTGTACTGTATATATACATATCTATTTACCCAGGGAGATCAGTAAAACACAGCAGGGAGGGGAGAGGTACACAAGGTAGTTTTTTCAGTCATTCATGTAGATGGCAAGTTTAAGGAGAACATGTGTGAAGGACACCAACAGAGAAACAAGCCAAAAATTGTGTATGAAAGTGGAAGTGAGAGAGGAGAAAGTAGTTGACACTGGAGTTTCTCGAAGAATTTAGTAGAAATAACATAAGGTTGCCAGTAGAGGTTGGGAAGTACCCAGCATACCATAACTCTGGGTAATGACAGCAGAAAAAGCTGATTACTGAAGTCATCAGATATCTTGTTTTGATACACCCATTCGCCAAATTTGGTTACAATCTCCCCAATAACTGTTTGAGTTCTCATGCTCTCAACTCCAGGATGTTAAGATATGATACACGCACGCACGCAGGCAGGCAGGCAGGCAGGCAGGCAGGCAGGCAGGCAGGCAGGCAGGCAGGCAGGCAGGCAGGCGCGCGCACACACACACACACACAGGGATGTGTGGATAGAAGACTTGCATTCCTGCAATACTTTTCCCTGAGTAGTGTGTGAGTGTTTTTATAATACAGTACAAACACTACTGGGTTATGGATTTCGAACTTTATGGATGCTCTCTCCTAAGTCCTACTTAAAATGAGCACCAAGTAATTCCCAGACCAAGTGGGGATATTTCCAATCATACCCCACCTGTGAACTGTATGTTACGTTATGGTTATTTTTTAACTCGTAATTTCAGGTAGTTACTGTATACATAATTTTCTAATATTTTTTTCTCAGTTATATACACATACAATCTTACACACACAAAGTAAAAAAATGATATAAAGTAAATAATTATCATAATGCAGAAAGTTTTAAGTATCTATGGGTGTCGATTGTGAAACCATGAGGCAAGTGTGTGGTCAGAGGGTCTGTGGCAGAGCATCGTTGCTAAGGTAAGCACCAGGGGTGAGCGATGCAATTTGTACACAACCTTGTATCATTTTTGCTCTCTTTATGCTTTCACTAACCCTTTCACTGCATATGTCAAATGTAGTCCATTACATCAAAATTTTATTTATTTTCTGTTTAAATTAACTTTATTCCAAGTTGAATGCACCGCCAGCCCTAGATTGTGCTGCTATCTATCGGTGAAGGTTTCAACCACAACACACCAATGTAGAGTTGCAGAAGATACCTGACACCTGAGCCCAGGTATTGCAGATCATCATATGAGATTTTTTAAGCACCTATCTACCATATAAATAAGGTAACTTTTTATTCTATTGTATGGGGACAGGCAGTGTAAGTGTGTCAATTATAAAAATATATATAAAAGAAGGAATACTGTTGAAATACTCATGTTTTGGGCTTCTCATTTTGTGGCGGTGTGAATATGGGAGAACAAATATTTTGTAGTAACTAAGGCATATTTTTACTGACTAATTACTGGTATTTATTTAATTTTTTTGCTACTGGGATGTGTTTGTACTGACTTTATCTCCCTTTACAGAGCCATGAGTGAAAGATGGTTGTTGAGAAGAGTCATGCCACTTCCTTGTAAGGAAGTCTATAAAATGCTTTTATATAGTTCACAAAATAAGTAAATATATGCAAGTTTGATATTATGACTATTGAAATGAGTTTGTATTGTCTGTTTTGTTTGATTTCACCTAAAATTATTGGACCTCAAAACCCGGTTATACTTTACATGAAAAATGAATTTACAGTGATGAATAACTTTGTTGTAGGCCATGATCCATGCTTCTTGTGGCAATATTGACAACATTTGATTTCCATACACCACTTTACTTGCAGAATACATGAATAACAAAATTTTGTCATAATATTTTTCATATAAAAACAGAGAATTCCACTAGTTACCCAAATTTCATCGGATTTTTGTGTCATATGCAAACTTCATGTTATTCTCATAATATAAAAGTAATAAAAAAGCTCAAATTAGCACTTTCATTTTTTGGTGATTTAATGATACTTGTTTGGAGTAATTACGACATCGGACAATGTGGTGAAAAAGGTTAATGCTATTTATATGATTTTGTTACTGATTTTTATATGCATAGAATTTTAAGTTTAATGTTAAAGTGTACAGTTAATGCTACTTTTAGGGGTGTTCACAGGCAGTTACAGAGGGTTTACTGTACAGTACATTTTAGACTTGGTGCTCAAAATTCCAGAAAAACCCTATCCTATTACCCCAGGTCCCAAGCAAGCTGGATAAATGGTCCCATACGTGTACAGTAATTGTATATAAATTATGTGTACTATGTGTGTTCAATGATTACCTAGGGAAGGGTCACTCCAAGCTTATGGATAGCCTCCGTGAATGGAACCCATCCATAACCCAGGGAGTGTCCATATCTTAAAGATGTGGATAAGAACTGTGACTGAAGTTGTGTGAATGTTGGTGTTTACAGGACTTCGGTAGATTATGTTGCCAAGTCAGCATTTATTTTTCACTCACTCACACATGCGAGCCTCCCAATCTCTTCTCAGTAAGTTCTCAGGTTTTCTGATGGAGGGATCTTGCCCTTAGACTTAACTCATGCCTCACCAGTGTCCTGTACCTCATAATGCCTACAAATCAGTGTTGTTTACCTCGTACTACCAACCATACCCCATTATGTCACACACATTCCACTTCACACTCATTCTCGACTCTTCCTAGCCCGTCTGATGCCAACCTGGGGTAAGGACATGTATTTCTTTACTGTTTACATCATGCATGACCAATTTGTAAGATTAAATTAATTTTTATTTGTTTAAAAAATTTCCCAAATACTATACCCACAAGGGGGGGGGGGGATACCAACCGTATCCCGGTGCCTGGGGCTTAAAAGTAACGATACATAGAGAGATACAGAATATCTCATCTATTAAACAATATGAAACAGAAGAAGACAAAATTAGAAGAAACCACAAGACAAACTCTCCCAACCTTACCGATCCTGTCAAAAATTCCCTCCTTTCGGTGCCCCACAAAGTGCATTCCTGTTGCCTTTTCTTCTGCTATAATAAGCTTCAAGACCTCTTCATATGAGTCAACTACTTTCAGAGTTCCCTTTAGGTGGGTGTCCTGGACTCTGGTACCACTGACATCCACAGGTGTTGATGACTTATGTATTATGTTGTCACAAATACTTGTTAACTTGTTATCTTTTTCACTAGATGGCAGATAATTTGACTTTAAGAAAGCCTTTGAAGTTGTAGTATTTGTAAAGTTGTTGTGTATCTCACCAGCTGGGAGACACTCTGGTTTCAAGGTGACATTAGATTTTATACTGGACGATCCTCTTTGTATGGTTGCCGGTGTCTTGAGTCTCTTCAACTCACACACCATATGATGGCTCCCTCCCTGTAAAGTAAGTACACCTTGTTAAGTTGTAAACAGTCTTAGTTAAGTATGAAGTTAGTAAGTACAGTACTGTACACCCTGTGAAGCAAGTAAACCCTATTAACACTCTTAGGATCGTCTGAAATTTATTTAACGAGACTGTCACAAGATCACTTTTGATCCCACAGAATGGCCACAAATCGAAGAGAAGATATTTTTTCCTGAGCACTATTTGTGTCTGCGACATTGTCAAATATTTATTCAAATGATGCCCTCCTATGTAAAAAAGGCTGGGAAATTATATGAAACCCTCAAAAATAAAATGCACATGGCAAGAAAGAGAAAATCACGAGGAAATCGATGGTGAAATCAGAAAAATCACAATCTTAAAAGTTGAGTTACAGAATAAAAAGTAAAAATAAGTGGTGGTTAGATATGCAGTCGCCAAAATGTTTGTACATTTTTTTCCTTGGTAGTTTTTTGTCAAAATATTTTGAAAGTATTTCTTTGTGATGGATTTTTACTGTACACAGACTTACATACCAAGGAAGAGAAACAGACCAGTTAAAAGTTTCTGTAACAAAAACTGAAAATTTGGCAATATTTCACTTACCACTCAGACCAGGTAGGCCTTGGCATATGGACGACAATGGTTAAGAATACGTATCAAATAAGCAAAATATTCATTTTAATTCACCATACCCTTAGGCATGCCTCTACTGCACTACATTTCATTGTCACCTATGACAAGCTAGGCCTAAATATCTTTCTCGTCAGAAACGGTCATCCCAATGATTATGAATAAACTCATTTAGAAATACATCATTACTTCAAGACGAAATCGGACAGATTTGAAACCGCCAATCAGCTGTAAGTTTTGAGAAGGGGGCGGGGCATCTTTTCTCAGCTGAGAAAGAATGCACTATAGGCCAGGGGAAAAAGGTATCAATAAACTTTTATTTAAGCATAGTATAGGTTATCTAAAGCTTTTTTTTGTTAAAGTTTCTCGCTTTATGTCATTGTCCATCGAGGCAGTAAATATGGAAAATATTTGTTTACATATTCATTAAAGACTCGGCATAAGTGTGGCGAGTATGAATATTTTATCAATTCAATTTTTTTTATGTGATATTCACTTCAGTTTAACACAATTAATGTACTGTACACCTTTTCATTTTGATGTCTTAATTCTAATTCCACATATTAATTTTGAATGTCCCTGAGTGATAATCTTGTACAGCATGCCCTTAAATTTAGCAGGGATTAGGTTCTCAAAATGGCAGCAAATAGCCGAATCCGCGAATAACATTTATGGACCGGGGGGGGGTACAATTTTACTTGTGTACAAAGAAATGTACTGTATATTCCCTTATGTCTTTGCCCTTAGGACATCTTTTACCTGTATTGTATATATGTGAATGTAGACACACAATAAACACATACAAATAAATAATACAGTATGGCCCCCCCGAGTTCATGGATTTTTACTTCGCTGTTCTCGGTTATTCGCGGATGACACCCTGGATGTACCCAAAAATGTCTGTGGGTAATTTTAAAGTTGCCGGCATTTTCGCGACTGGGACAGGGAGCCATTCGTTCTAGAAACAGTAATTTCCTTTACCAGTATTGTAAATGTGTGTGTGTGTGTGTGTGTGTGTGTGTGTGTGTGTGTGTGTGTGTGTGTAGACACACACAAAACACATAGAAATAAATAATAATTGGAAAATCCTCTCACAAATAATCAGAAACAAATTTATTAAAAATGTGAGTCCACCTTCAAGTCCGTACTCTATTACTTTATTAATAGAACACATATACAATACTACAGGTAAAAGAAATAATTGTCCTAAGGGCAAACATATAAAGGAATATACAGTACATTTCTTTGCACACAAGTAAAATTGTACCCCCCCCCCTCCCCCGGTCAGTAAATGTTATTCGCAGATTTGGCGATTCGCTGTCATTTTGAGAGCCTAATCCCGCGAATTTGGGGGGCCCCACCCTGTACTGGGAAAATCCTCTCACAAATAATGAGAAACTTTTAAGACAACAAAATGTATTAAAAATGTGAGAGTCTGACCTCAAGTCAACTCTGTGCTTTATTATTAAAGTTAACTTTAATAACAAAGCATGGAGTTAACACGAAGGGAGACTCTCACATTTTTAATACATTTTGTTGTCTTGTTTCTGATTATTTGTGAGAGGATTTTCCCATTATTATTTATTTGTACCGGTATGTGTTTTGCGTGTGTGGTCTACACATACGCAGGTTCCGATATATTCAGGAGCCAGTGCATGCCCAGTGCTTACTAACAGTGAATAACGCAGACGTGACTGACCGCCAAAGCAGCTAAAGGGCCTATCAGTGGCGAAGAGGATAAAGGTAAAAAAGTAAACCCTCTTTAATTAAGTACAGTACTATACACAGTAAAGTAAGAACACCATGTTTAAGTAAGTATAGTACACTCAGATAAATTATATAAAGTCAACATTAGCCAAAGATTCCATTTTCTTCAGAGATATCAAACAGGGGACGAGAAAAGAAGTGAAACAGATAATTACAGCTACTCCTCGACTTACGATCACCCCAGGTGTACAAATTTTTTTCTTTAAATTACGTATTTTTGAGTCCCGACATTAGTGATTGCGCTGTGTACTAACAAATTTTTTTTGGTAATTCCCTTTAAAATGACTGGTATGCTTAAAAGTGAGAGTTTTGTGGTGCTGAGAAGAAAAAGAGACATCCAATTTAAATTTTCAATGTACAGTCAACCCTCACTTTACGCGGTCCCAGATTCCACGTTTACACGGTGCCCTGCCAGAACCCAGGATGCTCACATTCCGCGGTGGGTGTACCCCTTTACACGGGTGAAGTATAATTTTTTTATTTAGCTCATAAAATTCATACAAATTATCCGGCCAGAATATAATTTACATTGCTGGAATTCTTACAATTTGATGATCATTTTGAATATAAACATCATAGATTTTGCATTAGACATACAAATTTTAGATGTAATGTTTACTCTGAGTAAATATGTTATCTTTTGTGAAAAATATGACATTTATATTCAAAATATTCCTGGTCTTACAAGGAATCCAGCAATGTCAATTATTATATCCTAACTTTAGTTTGAGGTATTATTTATTACTATACCTGGTTTTCCCCCAAAATTTCTCAGAGGGAAGAGCCAGTGAGTGTACTGTGAGAAGAGGGGGAGGGAGTGGAGTCCATTATTTGAATGGACATTAACTTGGCGACTGTATTTCTCTATTTCTCTTAAGTATTAATTGTGTGCATGTACCATCATAAAATTAAGATGTTATTTTTACTAGAACATAGGTATTGTGTTGGAAAAAGTGGAGTTTGGGGGTCAGCTGGTCTCTATTTCATTTAATCCCATATGTTATGTTATTCACTTTACGCGTTTCTCACTTTACGCGGTACCCTGTGGGTTACATTAACCGCGTAAAGTGAGGGTTGACTGTATTATCTTCGCATTTTCGACTTTCGACCTGGATTTGGGTCCCTAACCCTGTCGTAAGTCGAGGAGTGGCTGTATAAGAAAGAAGATAATCAGCAAGATGGGGCACATAATATAATATAATATATCCCAATGACACAATATTAATCAGTCAATTCCTAATTATGCAAACCATGTTAATTATTGAACTGTATATATAAATTAAATAGTTGTAGAATGACTCGTCCTAAAACATAAAATAAAATATCATGGATTGTGTATAAATTTCTCACCTGGAGTTGTTTTTTATGGCTGTAAGTATATTCCAAGGAGTTGTTTCTTTTCTTGTACCTACAATAATCACATGAAGTTATCTGTAAACAAATGTCTCTGTTAGGTATACATAGTATACAACAATATACCCCCTGTATAAGACATACTGTAGATTCAAATACAAAATGTTCCTTGTACTGTGAGTGAGAGGGAGGGTACAGCACTGGGGTGATCTGACAGGTCCTCCTCTGAATGTTTTCCAACTTTGAGGTTTGTTTTGATGTATTTTAGGGGTACAGATCTGTATCTGAATACTTGAATTAAATTATTCTTTAAGCATTTTTACTTCCATGTACTGTACAGTTGGCCCTTAACATACGCGGGTTTATAATACACGGATTTGCAAATACTCGGATTGCCCCGCCGGAGGAATATTCTGTACATTGAAGTAATTGAAGTACATTCAAATCGCGCGCCATTCAACTCGCGAGCGGCACCGAACACGGGACACCGCCCGCTCCCGCAACCTCACACACACGCATAGCTCTCCCTCACTCAGTCAGTCTCGCTGTAACCACGCTTGTGTTGACATCAGCATTGTAGTTGCAAAAATATTACATTTCCGTGAATGTATTATATCAAGCACAGTATGAATAGAATATCACTAATATAACAGTATTTTAACCGAAAACTACTAAAAAAACGAGTAACATATCTTGAACATCGGAAGGTTAGGTAAAGTCTTTTGTTTTCATGTAGTTTATCCTAATTTACATTGAAATGCATTACGTTTCAGCAAAACTACTATTTATTTCTGAGAATATGGAAATGTAATATTTTGCTGAAATGACGTACGTATTACAGTGGAAAGTGACGAAAGCAATGACTCGCTTTCTTTCGTTCAAAAGATGTTACCGTAATCGCTTTTCGAATGGTTTTCAGTTAAAAAACTGTTGTATTACAATAATATTCTATCCTAATTCACTTGTGATGCAACAGTTTTTTTAACTGAAAACCATTCGAAAAGCGATTACGGTAACATCTTTTGAAAGAAAGAAAGCAAAAGTCATTGTTTTCGTCACGATTTTATCCCACTTTCCACTGAAATACGTCTGTAATACGTACGTCATTTCAGCAAAAATATTACATTTCCGTGAATGTAGTATATCAAGCACAGTATGAATATAATATCATTGTAATATAACAGTATTTTAACCGAAAACTATTAAAAAAACGAGTAACATCTGTTGAACATTGGAAGGTTAGGTAAAGTCTTTTGTTTTCGTCATGTATTTTATCCTATTTTACATTGAGATACATCACATTTCAGCAAAACTACTATTTATTTCTGAGAATATATTCATTCAGGCACAGTTTAGGTAAAATATACATGTGCTGTAACATTTTTTTAATTGAAAGAAGAAGACTGGGAGGAGCTGTTTGGTGCTTAAGACGATGACAAGGAAAATGATTTTGATGGAATTTAATGAAAATATTCAGAAAGACCCTGGCACTGTCAAGGAAAGTGGCTGCTGAAGGCTTCCAGGACAAAGAGAGATCGCATATGTAAGTGCGCATGTGCACACGTTAAAACATATCATCATTACTTTACATAAGAATATGAAAGCATCACTTATTTACTGTTCATATATATTTTAATTAATGTTTCTGAATTTGTTTTTATTGAATTAATGCACGTGTGTGCAAAATTAACAATACAATTTATGAATAATACGTGGAATATTAGAGGAGACGAGACGGCTGCCGGCATTGTTTATGTTAAAGCTTATGAAACCAGTGACTGATTGGTTCTACATATAAAACTGAAGAAAATAAGACCCTGAGTTTAGCTGCAGTAAAATTAATGTAAAAAAATGAATATGGTTGCTTGAAGTACCTGTACAAGTCACTATCTATCCAGGAAAAGGGTGAATTTCCATGGTCCGGCACCGGTCAGGTCCCGAGGTTGCCGGACTAGAGAGGTACAACCTGTACCACCACCTCCACCATATATAGATCATATATATATATATATATGGCCTAAACAGTATATTTTTATACTGTATAAGGTATTTATAAATTAATTTTGAAATTAAGCATGTAACTGAATATATGCATAATTCATACAATATGATTATATGCATAACAAACAAAAAATGCCAGCCCACCAACTTCAAAAATTGGTTATATGATAACCAGTACAGGATATTTACGACCACCTTTCTCTTCCTAACATTACAAGCTATACAAAGCACTAAATTATAATACCATAAACCTCGCATGTACAAAAAATTAAAAAAGATATACAGGTAAATATTTTGGTATTTTTTTTTTTTACATTTATAGTTTTTTTGCAATTTTCTCCAAAACTATCAGATTTATAAAAATTTGAAAGCCACCATTGGAAAGCAATTCTACTTCTACTGTACAACTACTTTACACTTGGTAGGTTTGTTTGAAGATATCCATGATAGGATGTAGGGAATTTATTTTCTTTACTCGGAGTGAATAAAATATAGTCGTCTTTTTTCGTCTTATTTATTTATTTTATGGCTTATATTAAAGCCAAAAGAATAACAAAGCCAAGTGATGCATTAATTAAATAATAAATAAATCTTGTGGGATAAATTGGCCATAAAACGAAGATGCCCAGACCACACGTGAGTGGTGATGACAGGTCCCATTATGACTTTTGTTGTGGTCACAGAAACTTAAAAACTTATTGCGTGCATGAGAGGGTTAAGCAATGACTTAAATATAAAGTCATTTTCAGCGTACAGTGGTCCCTCGATTAACGAGCACAGTAAGTCGTTAACTGAATCTATTATTTCAATGGGATATTGGGTAATTGGTTTCAACACACAGAAAAAGTACATACAAAGTACTGTATACCAGTAATAGAATCAAACAAAATACAGTACTGTGCTGTACAGTATATTGTACAATAAAAAATAAAAAATAATAGAATACTGTATTTTAACTTACTTTAAGGTGTGTATGTCGTTTTCCCAGCGGCTTTGTTTACAAAGCAAACAGCTGATTGTATAGGCAGTCGATGATGACATGCCATATTCTTTACAGAGTGTATTGGTTCAAATGCCTTCTTCGTATTTCATAATAATTTATGCACTGTATATTATCAATATGTTAACTAAATTTCAGAATGACCAATAATTTTAAAGTAAAAATTAAAAAAATATTCAAGAGACCAACAAACTCAATGTTCACTCCACTGTAAACAAAGTTAAAATGAGAAGCATTGGTGGGTGATTCAATCAGCTGATGGGAGCACAAAAACTGTTCCCTGTACTGTATATATTGTCAATATGTTAAATAAATTTCAGAATGACCAATAATTTTAATATAAAAAATGCAAAAATATTCAAGAGCACAACTTTCTTGATATTTACTTCACTGGAAACAAATGTATGTACAGTAAACATAAAACAGATTACCGTACGTATTGGCAGACTAGCCGATCAGCTGATCAGCTGATGACGCACACCAAAGCGTGTTTCTCATAAGGCTGTCTTTAAAAGAAGTTGTACTCGTTAATAGAACTGAAAATCTGATGGGAGCTAATTCGTTAACTGAAATCTCGAAAATTGAACCGCTCGTTAATGGAGGGGCCACTGTGCTGTATATATATAAAAAAAGAATGAAAAATAATTTTATAATGAATTAATATTAGCCTCTATCCTATAAATTTGTTTATCTTACCTTGAGGAGTGGAGGGGTTAACCTTGTTTACTGTACTATGTTTTATAATGTCCAATTTAATATCCATTGTAATACAGGTACTCATACAGTATACTTTTCTTCCCCTCACCACACACATGTTATTTATTGCTTTTTCCTTATTATTGAACTGTTGCAAGGATAAGTCCAGATACAGTTAATGCTGAATGTGAAGCTCAACCACTACACACAGCACGACAGAACACAATGGGACTGAGATTCAAATTCTTTATTGCTTATACTAAGTCAACTGTGTCAAAAACGACACGACGACATTAGTGATGGGAATTTTTACGTTGCATTCCTCACTTAGTCAACGAAGTATAGTTCGACAACATATAGCAGGGACCCCCTGTATATGGACAGATGCATAGTGGTGAGGCAAAACCAAGTTATAACACAGTACATATATCCTACCATTGTTGTCTGGCAAGGTATGAAAGTACTAGAGAATATAGCATTTGCTGATGAATCATGATAATTAGACATTAATGGAAAAAGGTAACCATAAAACATTCATCTTACCATAGCAATAACATCCTCTGCCATACTTGTCCAGTAGAACCTCTCTGCCAAATTATATAAGGTTTGAGCACTATCTGAAATACAGAAGTACAGGTACAGGGTAAACATCAATAATATAGTATAAATAAGAAATGTGGTTCTTACTTTCATTCCCTGTAAGGAAAACAACCTCACTGCTACTAAACACAACACACTAGAGAGATGGAAGTAGTACAAAACTCATATACAGTGATAAATGTAACTACTGAATATATCAGATAATCCTATACTGTACCTTGGGATCTTTCTGCTTGGTCCTGTTAGTCTCGTACTACAGGGGGTCCCCGACTTACTAACGTCTGACTTACGAACGCCAGCTGATACAAACAAGGTTAAACTTTAAATTTACTGTAATTTATTTACCTGATGACTTATTTTTTACTTTCATTTACTGTATTTTATTATTGTATTTCTTCTTTTCTCTTAAATTAAGTGATTTTAGATGTACATAAGGACTTATGCTATGAAAAAGTGGGATTTTAAACATTGTTCTGTAAGTATGGTATGCTCATACCACGTGTTCGGACTTACATACATTTATGGCTTAAGAGCGTCCTCAGGAGTGGAACCAGTTCGTAACCTGGGAACCCCCTGTATAAGAGCTGTGAAGAAAATGATAAAAATATGTGAAAAATATGTTAATGAGTATAATCTCACAATCAGACTTAGCAAATATACTTTAGTAATTTCTAACTCTGTAGTTATTTTGTTATTATGTGCTGTCAGCACATACCGAGGAGTCCTGAGTGGAAAAACAACATTCATCCCAGGGGGAAAGTAGGCGAAAAATTCTTGCAAGGATTGCCAGTTTGCCCTCCGATAATGCCATAGTTGGCATTTAGAGGGGGCTGGGGGAGGTGATCGTGCCCAGTATGATTTAATAGAAATAAGGTTAATAGAAATAAGGTTGTGATCAGAAGACCCTAAGGGGGCAGAAATTGAGTATGAATAGTGTGAGGGGTTAGAGGTAAAACAAAGATCAAGAATGTTAGGGTGTTTAATTATTTGTTCCAGATCATTAAGTAAGGAAAAAAGAGTGTGCTTCAACTCTACCTGGGTCATCCCTTGAAGAGTCAAGCCACTCTCTGTGATGTACATTGAAATCCCCAAGGTATAGGATCTCGGTGTTGGGGTATGTGGATAGCAACGACTCATGGCAAGAAGTGAGATAGTCAAAGAGTTCCAAATAGTTGGTAGAGTTGGGAAAACAAAGAAAATGGTCATAATTGGTAGAGATATTTTGAGCCAGATGACATCATAAAGAGAAGATTCAAGGTGCACTTGTGTCACAGTAGGCGTATGCACCTCCTTTAGAACAGAACATGGTAAAAAGGCTGTAGATGGAGACTTGAAAAGGTTTGGGTGAAGTTGCTTTGGTCAGTTGAAGTTCAGATAGAAGTAAGAGATCGGGGGAAGAGGATCTCAGGCCGCAAATGTTGGAAAAACAAAGTGTGAAAAAAGCCGATCCTCCAGCAACCACAGTGTCGTCAGCTGAGACTCCAGTAGTTTGATGATGATCAGGTTGGCCCTGGGGTCCACAACCATTCCAATCAGTGGGACCCATCCAAGCAGGCCCAGCTTTAATATTATTGTTAGCTGATTTCACAGGAGAATAAAAGAATAGAAAGAATAAAACAGATGAAGAGTGAGAAAAGTTATATATGTTGAGTTGTTAATAGTAAGAGAGAGAATTGAGACCCTGCAATTGTGTGCAAATGAGGCTGAAAGATACTTGTAATGTTGTTTTTTAATAAAATATTGAAGTTTAAAATCTGAAAAATCTTAACTTGCACACATTACAAGACCTGCCAGCAGACTCTTCTTCGCTATTAATATCAATACAGTACATAGATAAAAAAATCAGAAATATTTATGTAACAATCACCTTACCATAATGTTCTCGAGATTTAAGTATGTGATATTCATCAAAGACCTTCTGTTTTTGTTCATCTGTGTACAGTACAATCCTCTTCTCACATCCATCCTTGCCAATGTAGTACATCAATTTATCTGGGAAATTCATATAAAATATTTGGTCAAATATTCCACAAAAAAAAATAAGATTATAAACTGTAGAAGTGTTTATTCAATGTTAAACCATTAGGAGGGATATATTTTACAACAACAAAATAAAGCAAAGGTAACTTCACATATTAGCCATATATGAAACTTTAAAATAAAAAGTATTAAACATAAGCAAATTCAAAAGAACCTTCAAGTTTGAATGACTTTGCAGCAATACGAATGCCTTTCTTCTCATTGATGTGAACAGAAGGCAGGTAAGCACCAGTCTCCAAGTACTTCCTTATCTCATGAAGGTGTAAGGCTCTATCCTTGCCTTTTCGTACCATTACTCCAGCCTGCAATGTAAAACATTTATCAATGTCAAGGTACTGTACAGTACATTGGAAAGTGTATACCTTTATGGTGTATACACAGTACAGTACTGTATACCTACACTTTCTATATACCCCTGTACATGCTGAACTGTATAATACACCCGCAATGTCTATATACATGATGAAAAATTTTTAAACTTGTATGATGATGTTACTGAATAAATATCCATCCATCTAAGAATAGTTTGCTTCTTCAGCAGCACAATTTAAAACTGATTCTGATATAACTACAGTAAAGTACTGTATATCAAAACGAACTTATATTTGACTGAACAACATCAAATGAGATTACTGACAAACTTGGGGTTGTGCAAGTCACAACTGTTAATGTTACTGAAACAAAAACTTGAAAATGATTCTTCAACTTACTACAAAAGCTACCACATGATATTTATGGTTGTCAAGGTCTGGAAGAAGAATGTAATACATTGGCTGGAAGTTAACGGTGTCCAAGTCGCACTTCAGGGCTGATATAATCCTTGAGCGATTTTCATCTCTCTCTGCTGTTGTATTCTGCCTTATCTATAATAGAATATATGAAGCTATCAGTAACACAGTCAGCCGAGTGGAAAAAAAAAGAAAAAAAAGAAACGCAGTTAAAGATATTAAGCTTTCAAAATGCCACATCTTTTGAACCAATAAAGATATCTTAGTGATTCTTCTGTTACGCAGCTTAAAGCATCTTTCATGCTATGATAGTTTCAGGAACGAAAATCAATGGCATAAAAAAAAAAGCATTTTTTTTTCACTTGCATAAACCAAACCACACCATATAACCCTAAAACAAGTGATATAACTTTCCCACCATCAAAGATATTGCAATGATTTTTGTGTGCAGGTAGTTATATGAATATACTTTCATGTTGAGACGGATCAGCAGCATAAATCCATTTTTTCATGGGGGGGAGACAGGTGTGTTTACAAGGTACTAAGAGTGACAGGCGCTGATAGAATGTGCGGTGCGCTGTGATTGGCCGCTGAGTGGCCATGTGGTATGGAGCACAGAGCGTCATTGGCCTGCTCCAGACGTGAGACATAGCCTGGTGTGTTACTGAAACTGAAGATTATTCTCTCCCGTCAACTTTAAACTCTGACGCACCCTTCCAAAGCATATGATTTTTTACCCTATTGTCATACACATACAGTCGACTTGCAACTTTGGCGGATTTTTCTTATGAGGTTTCAACTACAGTGGTCCCTCGGTTAACGAACGCCTCGGTTAACAAATTACCTTCCATAAGAATCTACATTTCGGTTAACGAACAAAAATTCGGTTAATGAAATTCTACGAAAATGTTTCAACATGCTTTGGCTTGCTCACCAGCCAGAAGATTAGTCTGTTAATACAGAAATCGGTTCTAGGGCTTACATTCGTTAAAATTGGAGTAAATATCAAGAAGGTTGTACTATTCAATAATTTTCCAAGCTTTATATTAATTTCTTTTAGTCATTTTAACACTTATTTAACATAATTGCAATACAGGGAACTAGTTTTTGGTGCGCCCATTAGCCTCTTCACTCACCCACCAAGGCCTCAGTTTGTATCTCGGTTCAGTGGAGGAAAGATCTTGCTTGTAGGTCTCTTGAACACAGAGTATCTTTACATTTTTACAGTACAATTATTGGTCATTTTGAAATTTATTTAACATATTGACAATATATAGTGCAGTGCAGTGTTGATTTAAAGAAAATAATCTTGAATTACACCTAGTAAACTTAAAATTTTATGGGTGAAATGACGTCATCAAGCTTGGGGTGATTTATCTTCCACCCCCACTGCCTTCTCTTCTCCCTTCTCCTCCACCCCCACTTCTAATTCCCATCATCATCATCATCATCAACCAGGAGCCTTCTACATACACACCTCAAAGTAAGTGTACTTTACTGCATTTTTTTTTTACTTTGTATGTAATTTTTGGTGAGCTGGAACCTATTACCCAAAATCCCATTAAAACAATGGTTTCGGTTAACGAACGACCTTCTGGAAGGAATTGTGTTCTTTAACCGAGGGACCATTGAATATGCGGATTACCCCGGGGGTTAGGTTACAATTTCCAATTTCAAGCTCAAAACTTTCAAAATGGGTCGCAAGAACACCAAACGCACCACCCAGCCATCCCACCTGGCCACCTCTGTCTGTCTCAGTTGCCGCACGTGTATCGTTGGAGTAACAGTTGCCTCTTGTGTGTGTCAATTTAGTGCGCTTAAACCTCTCTCATACTCATTCATAATGCCCAAACACAAGCCAACCTCTGCCTCTGGTCCTCCAGTGAAAAACAAAACCCTGTGATGACCCTGGAAGAAAAAATGGCTGTGTTAGACTAAATAAAAGGCGGCATGTCGATCAGTGCTGTGGCACGGAGGTACGGGCGGAACGAATCAAGAGTGAGATCCATCAAGATTCGGGAGAGGGAAATTAGTGAAATAGTGTCTACAAGTGCCTCATTTATTGCTAAGGTGACTAGCCAGGTTAGAGACGTAACTATAGTGAAGGTGGAGAAGGCATTAAACATCTGGGTGGAGGATATGAACGGCAACGTGCTCAGGGAGAAGGCACGAGTCTTTAAGTATGTACGTATATATACTGATTTAAGGGCGAATTAGGGGATTTTTAGAAGTGTTTCTGACTTTACGCAGTTTTTGGCTTTCGCGAGGTCCCAGGAACATAACCCCTATGTAAGTTGCGAGTCTACTGTATAATATATGCAAACACATCTGTTAATTGAGAAGAAAAAAGAGAATTTCAAAGAACATTTCACTTTCAATTCATATTTAAAGTTAACGTGAGTGGAAATAACTGGACATTATTAGGAAACATACAGGAAATGTGATATAATAACACGAATTCAGTGCTACAATGAGTAAAAGCCACCATTCTGCAAGGTATTCCTATAAATACAGTAGAAGCAAATATGGTAGGGTTAGGGTTGTTGAGGATTAGGAAATACTAATAGAATTCATAAATTAATTGTTTTGGATATTCTCTTATTTCCTATCCTTAATCTAAGTTAACTCTAACCCTAACACACTACGAATAAATAGATTATGTTATTCCTAATCTTAACTAACTCCTAACCCTACCCTGTTTGGTTCCATCTACAGTACAGTATACAGTCCTGTACATAACACTCTGAAGATAAGGTGTACCGTGAGAAGAAGGACATAGTACATCTACCTTAAAGTCAGGAAGTTTAAGGATTCTCTTTATGTGCACCTTGGCAGGACAGCCCATCTTTTTAGTATCGTGTGAACGAATCCTCCTCTTCACCAACTGTTGAACACTTTCCTTCTGTAAGTACTGTATTAGTTATCAGGTTTAAAGTAATTTGAGCTAAATGATAATGCAAATTTACATTCTCATCATCATATACAGTAAGTCCTCACTTAACGTCGTGGTTCCGTTCCTGAAAACCATGATGTTAACGGAAACAACGTTAATGGAATCAATTTTCCCCATAAGAAATAGACAAAATACAGGAGTTATGTTCCCCAGCCTCCCTTTGCCCCATAAAATACATTACATTTATAGAAATTCAATGTCATTTTTTTAGAAAATAGTATATATATATATATATATATATATATATATATATATATATATATATATATATATATATATATATATATATATATATATATATATATATATATATATATATATATATATATATATATATATATATATATATATATATATATATATATATATATATATATATATATATATATATATATATATATATATATATATATATATATATATATATATATATATATATATATATATATATATATATATATATATATATATATATATATATATATATATATATATATATATATATATAAATAAACTAAATTATTTTGTATTGCACTCACTGATGGACAGATGTGGTGGAGCGAGAGTGTGGTGGGTAGTGGAGCAGAGGAGGAGGAGGGTGGTGAGTCACTGAGACCCGGCGGGTGGCTCCTCCTCCCGGTTTAAACCTCCATTTTCGTGGCAAGGCTAATGGTCTTACATTGCTTCTTCACAACACTAGCATCAGTAGCACTTGATGGGTGCTTGGAAGCCATTTCGAATACGTAGCTAGAGTGCAGAATTAAAAGCAAAAACGCTTAAACACGCATGAACGCTGTGGTAGCTTAACAAAGACTGGCGACGCTTGGGGACGCTATGACGCTCTGCGGGTGAGAGTTTAGCACGCCAAGATGAGAGAGGGTGATGCAAAGTAGTCCGTGACGATGTTATACTGAATAGGCGGGAAGTTATCCGAATCAAGGTTATCTGAAGAATAACGACATTTTAACGAAACAACATTATCGGGGGCAATGTTAAATGAGGACTTACTGTACTCCACATTAAATTGGGCATATAATAGTTTCTTATTTTCTCAGGAAATACTTTTTAACCCTAATAAATTTATTACAGTAGTAAAAAAAAAAAAAAAAAGATAACTTTCACTGTACCTTAGTCCGGTCTCTGTTTGCTGCATATCTCCTCTTGTTCCATGCTCCACTGTCATTACCCAAGTGGCACTCCAGGACATAAGTTCCAGCCTCAATGAAGGGCACCCCAGTGTACTCCACTGGCACTGGGTCAAAGCCTCTTCCCTTTGTTCCTACGCTCACTGAGTATCTGATGTGCTTCCTTCCTTCTCCAATATAAGCCTTCATATCTGACCCTAAGCCAAAAAAAAATAAAAAATGCAATGAGTTTAGTTCAGTCACTCCATCCATTTTTCTTTGGTGAATTTTCAAAGAAGCACCATTGATGGGATATAATTTTTATGTCAGCATAATTTCCCTCTTCCAATCCCCTTTCATATTCCTTCTTCATATATACACTACAACTTTCAAATGGTGGTAGATATTATTAAACTAAAATATTTTTCTACTCTATCAACTTGAAGCCCCTTTTGTTTTTTACTGATACACAAACATACCTATTGAGACAGCATCATCTCTGTGTTTTTATTGCTGTGCATATCTCCCTTTGTTAACTCTTAATAAAAACTTCTAATCACACAAATATAATCCATTTCCATACTACTCGCCATACATATATTGTTGCATTTTAATTTTTCTCAGCTAAACTTCTCGTTCAAAACTAGGAAAACAGATTAGAAAAGTACTCTGAAACTTTTAAAGAAGATAAATTGTAGTTAAACCAGTACGTATAACAAAACTTTTGCCTTACCAAGTCTGTCAAAGATTCCTTCCTTTCTATGACCTACAAAATGCATCCCTGTTGCCTTCTCTTCTGCTTGTAAAATCTGGAGAACTTTGTCAAAAGAGTCAACAATCTTCAAGACACCTTCACAATTTCTCTGTTGATCCTGATCTTCAGTATTCCTGTGACTAACACTCTTGGTCATAACACTTGGGTACCAGCCATGAGCACAAATACTTATGGCTGGAGCTGTTGATGTGGATTGTGAGTAACTTCCTCTGGTGATTGTTATGTTCGGGTGATTACAACTTGGGGTCATAATATCAACAGTAGAGTTCATGGTAATGTTGAAGTTTTTTTATGAAGATGCCATAGTGTATCCAGATATGTAAGAACATCTTACATCACCCTCCACAGAGAAATTACCTGCTTCCTTCACAAACAAATGAGATGCAGTCTGTAACACAAGAGAAGATACTGGTAATTATTATAATTATGTTTGGATTCACAAGTACGTATTTACTTGAATAAAACTTGGTGCTTCCTTCATGACCACACAACACCATCTGGAAGTGAGAAATGTAACTCATGCCAATACAGTATACAAAAATTTTGGCACTGTGACTGAAGCACCCTTAAGCATGGGGCCTAAGGCCTCAATGATAATTAATTTCACTGACTCCAGCTAAGAGCACATTTACCTACTAAAAACACCCAAACCACAAGTCCAAATTATTACTACAGTAAAATCCCTTTAAATATGGTTAATAATTGCAGTATAATATTCAATTTCAAGAACCCCCAAATTTCATGCAGTACAGGCACTAGAGTCTGTTGTCTTTGGGATTTTCACTAAAAATGTATTTTTATGTATGGAATCTATACCCAGCGGATGTGTAAAAAATGAAGCACTGAGTCAGAGGTTAATGCCTTCTAAGGTCAAGTTTCAGTACTGTAATGGTATTTGTCAATTCAGTACTAAAGCCACTGCCTACTTGCTGTTTCTTGAGTACTGCAAATTCTGTGTAATTTATGTAATATTTTACGACTCCAATTGATGAGAAGGAAAAACTTTAGGAAGTTTTCTATAGAAGTATTTATTTTACCTCTATAATATCCAAAAATAAATGGAAGATTTGCAGCTTTCCTCCACCGTTGCCAAGATATTAACACCAAAACCGATAGCAACTTTACAAATCTCTTCTATAGATGGTCATAAATTAATTCTTTTACTGTACAAAGAGTGTTAATTGACTAGTACAGTACAGGCAGTCCCCAACTTATGACGGAGTTAGGGACCCAAATCCAGGTCATAAATCGAATTGGTAGTAAGTCGAAAATGCGAAAATAATACATAGAAAATCTAAAATGGGTGTCTCTTTTTCTTCTCAGCACTACGAGAACTCTCACTTTTACACTTGCCAGCCATTTTAAAGGGAATTACAAACGAAAATTCTGTCAGTACACAGCGCGATCACTAACGTCGGGACTCGAAGATACGTAATTTGAAAATTTTTTGGTACGACTGAGGCAGTCGTATGTCGAGTAGGTCGTAAGTCGAGGAGTACCTGTATATGGTCAAATAACTATGGGTCATTTGACTGAGGAATATGTATGATTTTAATGGTCGGCTAAGTTCCTGCTAACGCTATTTTACCGTGAGTGAACTTTGATTGGCTAGGTACTTTCTGTTTAATATGACGGGGTCCCCCCCCCCCCCGCCCGGCTAGGAAATTGGGTAGGTTTCTTTTATTTGTTAGATCAGGTTCTATTAGGTTCTAGTAAATGTCGTCTCTTACCAGCCATGGCAAAATATCCACTGCTTAAGAAATACTTATTGTAATGATAAGAAAAATTTGTAAATATTCGCCCATTGGCTGTCCACAGGCTTTGGTACGAGAATAGGCTTTTATTTTTACGTTTTTCGGTGTTTTACTAAAATCTGGCATTCATTTCTTTTGCCAATTAGCGATTTTTGTAAAAAAGTAAAAAAAAAATTTGAACAGAAACTGCTAATTTGCACAAAAATGGAGGTCAAATTTGAGTAAAACACGCCAAAAAAAACAAACTATTCTCATACCAAAGGAACCAATCAACCTACCTGACCTGACCTATAAGGAGGAGGGGTAGGTAAGGGGGAGGTAAGGAGGAGGGGGAGGTAAGGAGGAGGGGGAGGTAAGGAGGAGACAACTGACTCATAGAGGGACCTGGGTACAGATAATGGACCAATATTAACCGCAAATTTAGAAGAAAAAAAATAAAAAAAATTGAACAACTCCTTCGTGTGGAAGGGATGTTCTCCGAAATTACTTTTTATATTAATTAAAACAAAAATAAAAATATCCTACACATTTGTGGTAAAGCTGCTCCTTCTCACGAGTCTGTTATTAAGTATCAACGAGTATACTGCAGTCTTTATACATTGATCCCATTTAGTGAATATACTTATTCATTGGACATACAGAATGGTATATCGTCCAGCTTCTCACGAATATGTTTTTATATATTTATATTAACCCTTTAGTGAACACAATAGCCTTTCTTTTTTCTATCCTGGCCAGACAGTACACAGAGGGTGTACCACAGCACTTGAGGCAGCAGTTCACTCAATGTTTATACTCGACGTCGCTTAACATATTGTTACGTCAACTGCAAACAAAGAAAACTTCATATTATTAAGGGGTAATTATAACTGTTTTGAAGTCTTTTTTTTAACTGTAGATGACTATAAAATACATGTGTATATATGTAAATATTGTTTAATAATCCTGTGTATGTATTAATGGAAGTCCATACCCAGGTATAGCAACACCACAAGTGTTAGGAGGCTTTTGGAATTTGGTGCTACAAGAGAAACAAAGTTGTATTGATTTAAAAAAAAAAGGACGAATTAATACAAATATTGGTTATAAAAGAGAATGCAAAAATTTAAATAAAGGAAAGGGACTGAGATGGATGGATTACTTAGCCCACCCACAGTCATTATTCTCCCCAGGAATTACTTTTGCTATCACCTTATTTCGCTGTTCCGTTTCCTTGCTGTATAAAAAATAAACTATATTGACAAAACTGTTCATCTGTGGCATGATTATACCTTATAAAGGTGCTAAAGATAGATTTGAAAGATAGGTTTGAATTAGATCACTACCATGTGCAAAAAAACAAAAAAAGGCACTAACGATACTGTCACGTATTTCTCACTTTTTTCCCCGATATGTACAATTTAAAGTCTCATTGATCTGCAAGAAATTACTGCGTCGACATAAACGTCCAATAAAATCCACTATTTAAAAATAAGGTAAAAATAAACTCGGACATACAAAAACCATATGCATCCCGAGCAACGAGCTTGCAGAGCCCCTGAAGATCCTGGGTCTCATGTATTTCATATGTGATTAGTTTGCAAAATTTAATATTTTCCCCAAGTCGCCAGCTATATTTTTTTTATATGCAAGAACATCTATTACACCTGTAACCCTAAAGGTGTAGTCCAGCAGATGAATCTTACATCAGCAACTTCAGAATTGCCCCACTATTTCCACGGGGTTTGAATTTCAATTGACCAATAGAGATGGAAAGAAATTTCCCATTTTAATTCCATTTAAGGTTTTAAGTGGCATTTAAACATTAACAACCAAACTGTCAAATTCAAATTCTTTATTTCATTCAAATCCAAGCAAATTACAATCCTTTAATACCCGTTAAATGCTTTATACAAAGTAAAGACAATAATTTTAACACTTCAGAAACAACATCACGAATCCATAAAATTTAACGGGGTTTCTCTAATTGTTGCATCCTGAGCACAAGTTTCTCCTGATGTTACTTTCCTACAGTGATGTCCACTCTGCATGTTATGCTGTAGCCTCAATTGCCATTGATGGTGCTGCTGTAGTCTTCACCTAGATGTTGCTGCAGTTCTTCTTTCCCCTTATCTACTTTTTAGCTCCAACCGACTGCAGGGTGGACACCAACCTCCCTCCTTGGCCAGATTTAGCAGAGTCGCTCATTATCTGGGCACCCACGGATCCTTTCGCCACGCCCCCAGATTGGAACCCCGAAGTATCCAGTGCCCCACGGGTGGTGCTGGATTCTGAAATCAATGTAATAATTTAGTTTCCCGAGTCTCCACCTTTCACTATCAGTGACATTAATGGTTAATAACCAATTGTTCCCACCAAGTTTTTTCCTTCTATAATAAATTTAAGGTCACTGGGTTATTCAGGCCAATGCATAGTTCCTGCACCGTAACAAAACGTATATATTTGAATTTCATGCAAGTATTACCGTATATCCGGTGGAGTGATAGTGTGGGCAATGGAAGAGGCAAGGGGCGATGATAATATATAATGTCATTACAGTTGTTGCATTAGATATGACTAAACACGAATAAGGAATCCATTATATTCTACACTAAATATAAAAGTGAGGAGGTTTATGTGCATCCGAAGTGAAGAACATAAGCTGTTACAACAGGAGTGACATAGTACTAGCATGGATACAGCCAGCCGTTACAAATAATGCCGTTAGCCAGCGATGCGTTCTAGTCTACCAAGTAACCACCAACAAATAAACTGCTTATATTATTCATAGATTAAAAACTCACGCGATAAGTTACTGCTTTTGGCCCCCGCTGACTGTAGGTCAGGCACAGCGCCCATGTCCGACCCAGCCTTAGCAGTGTTAGACATCATCCCTGCCGCCACGCTGCCCTTGGACACGCCCCCAGGACTAAAACCAGCATCGCTTAGGTCCCCGGGTGATGCTATTCCATTAGAGTAAGAGGAGGGTAAAGGTGAATATGCTATCAATTACTTTATATGGCATAAATTGTTTACCTATACAAATTTATTTCAAGTCCGAATAAAATTTTTTTTCTCTAGGTTACAGTTACCTTTACAACCTTAACTTAATAATCTGTCATGGATAATTTACAAGTGATACTTTCCTTGCATTAGTCTTCATAAAGCTGTAGAGGTAATGGCCTACAAAGTTAGTTATCGGTACAACTTGTGTTAACTATACCTATACAACATAACTTACCACTCTTGGACATGGCTGCTCGAGCTACCCGACAGTGGTTAACTGTAACGACAAAAAAATATATAGTGACATTTTTAGTGACAATACTGTATATACATTTCATTAAACATATGCGTTTCAAACGGTTCCTGAAAATGATATGAAGTGCTGTATGTATAACTCGGGTTTGATAATCTAAAACACCAACATTTCTCTTATCCTCAGGTTTAATTCACTAACAAGTTTTGGTAAATTTGCAGTTTTGTACAACCACAGAATTATTGTTTTACCTATGTTTATACACTTCCAAGACACCTTTCTTCTATGACGCTTATCTCGCCAATGACAAAATTGGACCAATCCAATATGCCAGGGCTCGGTTAAGTTACGTAGTTTGCGAGAGAAGCGTTACAGAAAAGTATCAAAACATACTGTAAATACATCGGAAAACAAATTTTTTAATAAACATTCTGTGGTAGTACAAGTCTGCAAATTTACACTAAGTTTTAACATTTGACAAAAAAAATAAGTGAAACTTGATTTACGAGTCATGCGTGTATATTTCAAAATAATTTTAAAATATTCTAATTATAGAATATAAACATGCAATTTTTTGTTAGTTTAACACCAATGCAGTATTTTAGAATTCAGATAAAATATTTAATGTTATGTTATAACTAGTAATGTTAATTTTCTATTTCACAATTTCCCTCTAATATGAGCAAATCTCAAAACAATAAAATTTTGTCAAATAAGAAAATTATAATTAGTCACCTCTATACGTGAATGCTTATAACACGCTACAATTCTCACATTACTGTTATTGAATTGCAATTCCATGTTTAGCAATATATTCTTTGACAGAGAATTATAATGTCAATAACTTTCCCTAAACAACTTAGGACTAAATACTCCAAACGCTGTAGCTCAACAGCTTTACTTACCCACGTCTGTTTGGTAATTCTTGCTTGAAGCTGCAAGCGGGCGCTTATATTGCATGGCTCAGCCAAGAGGTGAACCTGCCATGATGAGATGCCACACACCGCCAGCTGGAGTGTTACTAATATGTAATCAGAGGCAAAATATATAATAACAAATATATATGTCAAAATACTTAATAACATAAATATATAATTCAAAACATATCATAATTTCACAACTTAATCAATATTGAGATACGAATTCCATAGTTAACCCAAAATATTATATTATCACAATTGGCAACATAAATGTGTCACCAAGTTTCGAATTTTCGCTCAGGTTCTGAACGTGTATGTGGGGTGCCAGGTTGACCTTGGTGTGATGTGACCAACAGTTATATACGCAGTTATCAACCTTGACACGAGTATAATAATTCTACATAGAGTCTCTTAATGGATTTCCATGGAAAACATTTTCCTTATTTATATAAATGTTATTATTATTATGACAGTCCCTATGAAAGGCGAACTCTGCTGTTTGTACTTCAGGAAGATAATCACATGCTATATCATCAGATCATTATATAAATAGATATGTGGATAGCTAGAGTGTTAGAGGGGTTTTCATTATGTAAAATATTAATATAAATTCACATTGAATCAGAACATAGACAATGGAGGGATATGATGTTGGCCTATATAGCACATAGTGTACAGTAGGTATATAAAGTAAATAGAGAGCATGTATACAATATACAAAGACAGTGTAAGTGTATGCCAGTATAAGTATGGAAACAATGGTAAACTGTAAATTGTTTCGACCAAGAAGGGCCCATGATGAAAACGAGAGAGAGAGAGAGAGAGAGACAGAGAGAGAGAGAGAGAGAGAGAGAGTTTTCTAAAGTAAATCATTATATAAGATAAACAAAGCGAACAAACACAGCACAACTTGAGCTTACAATTAATGATCTTTCTGATATTAAAAATGAATTATTATTAAAAAAAAAAGAAGTACAGTAAAAGATAAGATATACTAATAATACTTCCAAGATCAATGTGAGTTTCTGTTGCTCTCCATACGTTTGGTAACATATCAAACTGAACATTATCCAACAGCCTAGCCTAGCGTATCCTGTCATTCATACTTTCCAAAGTTATTGACACTGGTGGAACAAAAACACTGAATTTCTGACATAAACCAACAATTCATACCTCACACCTCATACCTCACACCTCATACCCCACCTTACACCTCATACTACCTCACACCTAATAATCACACCTCACACCCCACACATCATACCTCACAACTCATACCTAATAAGTCACCTGGTCCAGATGAGATATTTGCCAGAGTATTAAGGGAATGTAAGGAAGAGCTTAGTATGCCCTTAGCAAAGTTGTTTAACATGTCATTAAAAACAGATGTAGTACCAGAATCCTGGAGGATAGCGAATGTAATTCCGATTTTCAAGAAGGGGGATAGATCACTATCCTCTAACTACCGCCCAATCAGTCTAACATCAATAGTAGGCAAATTACTGGAAGCAATCATTTCAAACTATTCGAAATCACCTGGAGAAGCGCAGATTGATCAATGATTCCCAGCATGGCTTCACAAGCGGACGTTCTTGTCTAACTAATCTATTAACATTCTTTTCATCAGTTTTCGAATCAGTGGACGAGGGGCACAATTATGATGTTGTATATCTCGACTTTAGTATGACCTTCGACAGAGTCCCCCACGAAAGACTAATTAGAAAGGTAGAAGCACATGGCATCAAAGGTAACATCCTGAAATGGATTAGGGCGTGGTTACAGGACAGGAAACAGCGAGTGAGCATTAACGGCACTAAGTCCCATTGGAGCAACGTCACAAGTGGAGTTCCCCAAGGATCAGTACTTGGACGATTATTATTTATTATATAAACGACATAGATATCGGCATAGACAGCAACATAAGTATATTTGCTGATGACACTAAAATAGGAGTGTTAGTTACAAGACTAGAGAGGTCATCCTAAAACTGTATCTTGCGCTTGTGAGACCACACCTGGATTACGCAGTTCAGTTCTGGTCACCGTATTACAGAATGGATATAGAATCATTGGAAAGAATTCAGAGGAGAATGACAAGACTAATCCCGGGCATTAGGAACCTTGAGTATAGAGACAGGTTAAAGCATCTTAATTTGCACTCCCTCGAGAGACGTAGAGCGAGGGGCGACCTGATAGAGGTGTATAATTGGAAGTCAGGGCTAAACAAAGGCGGACATTACAAAGGTACTCAAACTATCCAACCAGGAGCGAACTCGTAACAATGGTTTTAAATTAGACAAATTTAGATTTAGGCGTGAAATAGGTAAACACTGGTTTGGAAACAGAGTACAGTAGTGGATGAATGGAACAAGTTACCAAATATCATCATTAACTCGAATACACTGAATAGCTTCAAACATAGGTTGGATGCTTATATGAGCAATAGGGGTTGGGTGTAAACGGGACTGCCCAGTATGGGCCAATAGGCCCGCTGCAGTTTCCTCCATTCTTATGTTCTTATGTTCTTATGATCTTAGTTCTCAGTAATCTTTGTGATGTGTTATTGAGCGTCCCTCATACTGCTCTCCCACCCACTATACTCAACTCTCACGTACTGTACACGGTTATTATCGCGTACCGTACATGTTACCCGCTGCCTCCTCCCCCTTCACCCCTCCTACGCCTCGAGCTTCTCCTCTTACACTCCCTCCTCCTCACCCTTCCTCTTACACTCCCTCCTCCTTTTCCTCCTCCTCCTCACCTTTCCTCCTACTTCCTCATCGTCTTTTACCTCCTACTTCCCCTTCCTCTTTTTCCTCCTCCTCACCCTTCCTCTTACACCCCCTCCTTTTCCTCCTCCTCCTCCTCCTCCTCACCGTTCCCCCTACACCCCTTCCTCCTTTTTCCTTCTCATACTTCCTCCTACACCCCCTTCTCCTTCTCACCCTTCCTCTAACACCCCTTCCTCTTTTTTTTACTCCTCTTCACCCTTCCTCCTTTTCTCCTTCCTCCTTTTCTCCTCCTTACCCTTCCCCCTGCACCCCTTCCTCCTCCTAACCCTTCCTCTTACGCCCGTCCTCTTTTTCCCCTTCCTTACCCTTCGTCTTACACCCTCTCCTCCTCACCCCTCCTTCTACACCCCCTCCCCCTTTTCCCCTCTTCTTCTTCACCCTTCCTGCTCCTCACCCCCTCCTCCAAAACCAAAACCAATGAGGCATGTAAGAAAGAAAATGTTGACCGTGACCTTGGCCTGTCCAATGCTGTAATTAAAAACATTCAAGTCAGAATCATGAACTCTGATCTAGAAGAAGTGAGAAATGCAGAGAGACCTGACAGTTGTAGCATTAGTAAATATGACAAATTTTGTGACAAGAGGTACCGGTATGGCCAGCATAAGGACAGAACCAGACAATGTGATGTAGTCGTGGCCAGAATTGGGCTAGGATACAGACACATCTGGCAAGTTAGTAACGCTGTACCCATATCAGAACACTCAGCATGTAATCTTTGTGATAAACCTTTAAAGCCTTCACTTGAACACTATATTATTGAATGTGGTACTGTCAAAGACTTCAGGCCACCTGACTTATTGTATCTTGAACTATGTAATTACTTCATTGAATCAGGTGTGCTTGAGGACATTCTTGCTGTTTATCCCAAATTTGCTAGCCCACACTGATTAGTCTTCAATTAGAATATGACTCCAATGTATGTGATCCACTGACCTAGTATATATACTGCTAATGAATATGATGTATTTCCTTCTTTGTGTACGAACCTCTGTCCTGCATGGCAGTGAACAGTGGCATTACCCACATGAATCTGACCTATATATATAGTGTCAATGAATATGATGCATTCTTTGTGTACGAACCTCTGTCCTGTATGGCAGTGAAAAGTGACATTACCCACATGAATCTGACCGACGTATATGTATGTATGTATGTGTGCATATGTGTATATATATGTACATGTATATGTGTATGTATATATGTATATGTATGTATATGTGTATGTGTGTGTGTACATATATGTATATGTACTGTCAATGAATATGATGCATCTCTTTGTGTATGAACCTCTGTCCTGTATGGCAGTGAGAAGTGATATCACCCTCAGTGTCAAGACCTGACTGAATTACTCAGAATAGGCAAACTGTACTACAAGCTTTGTCAATAAATTTGTTAAACTAAAAAACTAAACCTCCAAAACTGAATCGCATAATTTATTGTAAGTGTAACCTATTGTAGCCTCGCGTGTAATGTTACATATGCTCCTACATGACATCAGCTCTTGTACTGTACTTCGTTGGCTTTACTTTGATCATAAAAGGTATTGCAAACTTTTACATAATCGGAGTTAGGATCACCTGAAGAATCTCCACCATAAGCTTTTATCAACTAAAGATTAACCTAACCTAATCTAACCTAACCCCCCCCCCCAAAAAAAAAAAACAGTGCTACGATGGTTGTTTAGTTGAAATAAGTTGGGGTGAATATTCTTCAGGTGGTCCCAGAGTACTCTAACATATATATCTACAGTACTGTACGTTGTTCTGTTGATAGTTCCTTCTCATCAAAGCCTCATACACGTCCAGGACCTGAGAGAAAATACAAGCCCAAGAATGGTGACATACTGAGCTAATAAACATAATATCTACCTAACCGTATAACGTAATATATATTAATATATATATATATATATATATATATATATATATATATATATATATATATATTTCCTGTATATATATATATATATATATATATATATATATATATATATATATATATATATATATATATAAATATATATATATATATATATATATATATATATATATACAGTATATATATATATAAATATATATATGTATATATACTGTATATATATATATATATATATATATATATATATATATATATGTATGTATATATATATATATATATGTATGTATATATATATATGTATATATATATATATATATATATATATATATATATATATATATATATATACAATATATACATATATACTGTATATATATATATATATATATATATATATATATATATATATAT